CGGAGGATAGTGTCCATCCAGGGGCGAACCCATTCAAGGGCCTCGTAATCACGGACGATCCAGACGAGGGTGATGCGTCTCGTGGCAACGCTGCCGTTGTTGTAGCCATCGATGAGGGGCTTGAGGTAGGAGATACCGTGGGTGATGCCAGTGGCGCCAGCGAAGAGAACAGCGTGGCCGTATGAGTCGAGTGAGTGATGGCCACTGTAGGGACCTTCAACACAAGCCTTCATGCGAATGGCGCGGTCACCGCTCTGGCGGGCAACGTTGTAGAGATCGCGAGTGAAGCCGCTCTGAGCACCAATAATGAAAGAGATGGAGGTCGTCGTGTTCTTCTTGTCAATGGCGGTAAGTGTAGCCTTCTCCTCGTCCACGCCGAGAGGCAGCGAACGGTGATCAGGAATGTGCTCAACCCAGCCGATGGAGAAGGGGTGGCAATCCCAAGGGCGGATGTCTTTGAAGCGCAGGTAGGCGTGGGTGCCAGGCTTGACGTCGACGTAGCGGGGGAGGTTCATGGTGACACGAGTGCACTCGCCAGGGACAGCCTCAACAATGGCGTCGGTGGTACCGCGGTCAGACCAGTTCATGTAAGCGACACGAACAATGCGGGCCATGCGCTCAAGGAACCAGAGGATGAAGATGGCAATCATCCAGGGGAGTTGAGGAAGGCCACCCGGGAGACCAGCGACGGCGCAGTGGATGTAGGTCATCAGGAAGATGAAAAATGCGAGGATGATGTGGACGTTGAGGAAGGTCTCGTAGAAGGCGTGGCGAACGGGCGAGAATGACAGGATCATAATGACGATGAGAGCGAGCGTACCAGCCATGCCCGAGCCGATGAAGAGCTCGTTGGACATTCTATGCCAAACGCCATCCCATCCGCTGTCGGCGATCTGGACAATCAACCAGGCAACAGTGTGAAGGACAGCCTCGATGACAGACATGCGACCAACCCATCGGTGAAGAAGGTTGTAGGTGTCGAAGCTGACGTGAAGCATGCCGATCAACGGGTTGTTACGGCCGGCAAGAATGATGAGCGGCACCATGTTGACGACGGAGAGGGTGCCGGAGCGACCACGGAGTTCGGCGCAGAAAGAGTACAGGTTGGCATTCTCCCAGTTCAGGAAGAACATGTAGATCATGTTGCTGGCGATGTAGAATCCGAGGATGACGCTGTGCATGCGAGAGGGCAAGGTGCCGATGCCGATAGCGCTCGAGAGCTTGATCTCCTTGTTGTGGCGCTTGTTCCAGAGAGGGGCGTACATGAGATGTTTCTTCAAGCTGGGCATCCAGTTCCACTGAGCCGTCTTCCAGTAGTTTTGCCTCTCGCCCTCAACAGACATGGCCGAGACGTGACGAAGCTGGGCCCAAAGAATACGGCTGATGGTGATGACGAGGACGAGGATTGCCATTCCACCGAAGCTAGCCCAGAGCATGTTCTTGAACAGCATGTTGACGGGTTGGTTGACACCAGCAAGGTTGGAGTGGTAAGGAGAGATGGTGGAGGAGGCCTCGGCCGCCCCCGTCGTGGCAGCGGCATGAGCACGCTGTTGAAGGATCTGGTTGGGGATAAGATCCGCCACCAGGCCGGCGATCCTGCGCCGGTGAGAATCCATTTGGTCGGATGTGTTGTTTGTGTTTGCTGTGAATCTCAAGAGTCGAGTATGAAAGGTGAAGGAGTGTTCGTTTCTCCCGAGGAAGTGAGCCAGATAGCCTCGTTCGGTTTGGCTAGGCTACTACTTAGTCTGCTAGAAAAGTCCGGCAGGCGCGAGAGCGAGAGGTCGGATTGTTATCGATAGTGCCGGTCGGTTACAATGTCATTGTGCTTCGGGTTGGGAGCAAAGTGACAAAGAAAGAACGGGGGATAGCAGGCCTGTTCCGAAGAAGTGAAGCAGAAACCTTTGTAAGTATCAGCACAGTGTCAACGGTGACGTGTGATGAGTCGAGGTGCTGCAGGAGACCGAGTCACTGAGGAATGCGTCCAACCTCGAGGTGAGTGATGTGCGAAGCTGAATGACGGAAGGTCAAGTCAGCCAGTGGAAGAAAAATCCGGACGGTTGTTGCGTCGATACCCTTGTGCTGATCGTTTGCCTGGAAGCGAGAGCGGTCGGAGTATTGGCGATCCAAATCAGGGCAAGGTCGATCTGAATCTGGCCGAGCAGCAGCCGGTTGAGCAGATTGAGAGAAGGCAGGTGGCTGAAGTTGACGTATGAGAAGACGGGGGACGAAGCAACGTCAATATATTGTGCGTCTCTCAGGTGGTCCCTTCGCAGTGTCTCGTGCCGCGTCCTTTTCGGAATCGAGGAGCCGGAATTCCTTCTGTCGAGTGTGGAGAAATTGAGCAGGTGAGTGATGGGGATTTTCAAAATAGCTGAAAATGCCCGGGTTGCTGGATGACGAAAATGAAGTAAAACAAGACAACGGAGACGTTGACAATGTCTTGAATGTGATGCGTAGCGCGATCTTTTTTGAGTGTTGTCTTGGAATGAGAAAAAAAACGAGTGTTCACCGCCGCTGACGGAGTTTGGATTGAATGGGAAAGAACGAGCGTGTGGTTTGTTCGATATTCGAAAGCAGAAACCAAGCGCTGATTTGCTAAAAGGGAGGGGGGGCGTGTGATCAACAAACGACGTATCTCACGTGGTTTTAGTGTATGTGGAAAATGTATTCAAGCAAGGTGCAAACGGTGCAAAGAGCAAGAAAAAAGAGCGTGAGGGAAGGAAGGTGCAGAGAGGATGGTGATGTGGTTGTAAGTTCCAGAGTGAGGTTGGAAGGGTCGGGTTCAACGGTCGTTGTTTCCGCTTTTGCCTGGCGTTTGGTGGTGGTGATGGTGGGTGTTCGTCTAATGACCTCAGATGTTCGGTTCCCCCTGCTGTATGTTTCGCGCTCTCTCTCTCTCTCTGTCTCTTTTTCCTATTGCTCAGTCCTTTGTTCCTCGAAACAAGTCCAAATCAGTATCCACCAAAAAAAGAAGAATACGTGTAACGTCGTCGAGTGTTGTCCAGCCTCTCTTTAGAGCAAAGAAGAAGAAAATAGTCGAATTCCAGAATTCCAGTCGAAAGCGAACCGTCTCACCGAAAGGAGACCGAAGAGAGTCAGCGTGACAACGGGCGAGGGAAAAACAGAGAGCGGTTGGGATCACCGGGCGTGGAGAGGGCGATTAAGGTACTTTTAAGAGACTGGCTGGGACGGGCCATGAAGGACCTCCTGCGAGCCACGACGGGGCCGGGGGACCCACGGTAGGCTGGTAGCGCCGCCGAGAGGCTCCTCTCCTACTATGTACCAAGGTCCAAAGGTAGGCTCTGGCTCCTCCTGGGGCGGCCTGGACTGGATGCTGCTGGGCTCTAGCTGGGAAGGGCAACATGATCCATTCCCAAATCCCCCTGGATTTGTGGTGGCGTGCAAGGGCAAACGGGAATGACTGGATCGACTGGACCTCACAGCCCACGCTTGACTGGTTTCTGCCAGCTTCTTGCTCATCTATTCACAGGTACACGCAGGCTCCAGCACTCCCAGCTGGCTTCGGCAAGTATCCGTTACCACACCAGGATACGGGGTACAGATACAGATACGGGGACTCCTCTACGCCAATGACCTGCCGAGCATTCGCACGAACGAGACGACGAACCAAGGTCGGGCATGGCATGGCATGGCATGGCATGGCACAGCTTGGTACCTGCGTTGCCCTCACATACGCGCACTCCGCGGCTACGTGCGACTTGCCTTGTCAGCTTGATACCAATTCCAGTCCTACCACCTGAACCGTATAGAGTACTACAGACGCGCAATTCTCAACTCAATGGTCAAAAAGAGGAGCAACTCCAAGGGTACCAAGTCCACATCTGCCCACCGAGCTGTCAGTCTAACCCTATTCCGATCCTTTGGTTGCTGGAATGGAATCACTGCGCCTTGCACATCGACTCACGCACCGGTGTTGCTCCTGCCAGTGCCAACTGATGACCCCGGCGGAGATGGCAAATGGAGCACGGAAAGCAAGTCAACGACGCAGGAACAGGAATAACCCAGGGAAGCAAAGGGACTTCGCACTTTGTGCAAGACTGAGGTGAGAGTGGGATGAAAAGGAGGGGGTTCATGGCCAGCGGTCAAGAAAAGGCAAGTCGCTCACGGGAAAACGCAGGGATGACACTGACGGGGGAATACGTACACAGGCACTTTATTCTGTACACGCAGGGACAGGCTCAGAGGGAGTCGATCCCTGGTCGCCAATCATTGAGATCCAGTGTTACCGTTCGCTGAGGCTGAAGGGGTGGCCCCTGGCTGCTCGGACGCGTTGATTACCATGATTTTCATTCGCTTCCCTCGTCTGTTGACAACCCGGCACCTTAATTGTTCATCCGGGGACCATTCGTCGTCGAATCTTTATCTTGGGACGGATGGAATGCTAAGGGATAACATGTTCTCTCCTTTATCGTCAGAATATCACATCGCAAACGGTCTCACCCTACGCCTCGGTCATCCCAAGATCAGGGACTTGGGGACCTCAGGGTCTACAGATCAAAGGCACTTTCAATCTGGTCCACACCAGAACAAGGTGTGCTCGCTGTACAATTGCAGACTCTGTTGCAACTGGCCACTCACCCACTGTAGCCCCCTTGGCTTCTGCTGGGCGATTCCGCCGAGCCGTCGTTCCTGGCCAAACGCGCAGTCTGAATGGCCCAGTGTTTCCAGGCTTTTCGCCATCTTCCCGACCCCTGAGCGATTTGACTGGCCAAAATCAGCTCTTCGGCTTGATAGTGTGGCAGCATTGCTGACTGAACTGGGCCAACTGGGCCTCTCAGAGGGCTTGACAGCCAGCCAGGGGCCTTCATCCAGGGGCGAACGGACACAGGCTAGGAAATGACAGGGGAAGAGACCGGACAAACAAGGATGGGGGTTCGGGTGAATACTCGCCCTCCACCAGTCGACCTATCGGCTAGTGCCAGCTGGGCCAGCTCGCCCAAGATGCCAAGCACAACGACCAATCCTCCTCATGAACCGCTGCTGATTTGTTGCTTCTTCCATGGGTCCGACTGAACCTGAACTCGACATGCCTTCTCGGTTTCGCACATGGCACGAAGCTGCAAGACTTTTCGACTTGCACCGAAGCGACCGAACACGACGGGTCTCTCGGGTCTCTTCTTGGCCTCTCATCCACTGTCCAACTGTCAACAAGGCTCTCCTGAGTCTCCTCTGCCCAGCCGCCAAGGAACACGTTGAGATGAACCAAAAGAAATTCCAACCATTGGCTGGGCCACCGACATTTCAATCCAAAAGACCCCGTGGTGCCCTTCGTGGTCTCGCCTTTGTGACCCCATGGGCCGACCGTTGGAATCGACTTGTCCAGCCAGCCGATGTCTCTAGAGCAAGAGAGCCAAACCCAGAGACATCATTGATAGTATCCGCAATACCTCATCCGTTTGGATTCCCGTTGGTCCCCATCGGTCATCCGCATCTTCGGGCTCTGTTTGGCGCCAGGCTTGATCTGATTCACTGACTTGAGATCCAAGCCGAGACCAGAGCCGTTCGGTCCAGCGCCACGAGGCCACCAACACACTACTCTCAATTCTGCATACTAGTGTATCAGAAGGCATCCGGATTCCGATGTGGTGTGGAACGGTGACACAGACGTTGAGCACGAACAGGGCCATAAGATGCGCAGCTATCGTCGTATCCATTTGGGACCCAACCATTTCCCTCCCTTCCGGAATTCTGGAAGACACGGCAACTGACGCTCGGATGATGACGAACTGATGGATATCCAAAGGAGGAGGGAATTCCCAAAGGAGTTCGAAAGCCTGACCCATCGCCCACTCATCACTCAAGCTGTCTGAGCATGTGAATCAGCCCCTCATCTAAGTCATCAATTCGCGTCTCAGGCATAATGCTGTGCCGCCCCTCTCGGCCGATTCTGCCGTGGCATTCACCTGACATCCCACGGTACCGCTTCGGAGCTTACCGTGCTCTCAACTCATCTACCAGACAACCAAGTAATCTTCTTCCTTTTACCACGACTGGTATCAACGATATCCTTTCCTCATCTCCACTGTAACCGAGGGATCGCAATCGAACGTTACCTAGATCTCTAGCACTACTGGAATCATTCGGTCGGCTGTTTGACAGACGTTATCTACCCCTCAATGAAATTTAAACTCATACGCTTGTCAGCGAGGACTGCTGTCACTCCTGCAGTTCGCGGAGTCTGTGTGGTCTGCCAGGAGCCAAAGCTCAGTCTGATCTTGATAGCAATCAACCCTTTTGGCGTAGGGTACCCCGGCCCTCGCATGGCCCCCGAACAGCAACCAAGCAAAAAAGCCAAGATACACAGTACTCCGTCGAGGGTATTCACAAGGAACTCCATCAGAGAGACGGGGCGATGAACCGACTAGGTAACCCATCCCACGTTCTCGTCCCCTTCAAACCACCAGCGAATTTTCTTCAACTGCGCCTTTGGACCTCGCAATTCTCGTCCAGCCGCATACAAATTGCGGGATGTGACGGCGCAGCCGTGCCCACCGGGGGTCCAGCTCAGTTCAGCGGGGAGTCCCTGTTTAGCGTCGTTGCAAACAAATTAACAGACCCGAACATCCCAGCACTTGGCCTCGGAGCCAGATTCCGTAAAGAGGCTTCTTCCCTCTTCTAGGACCAGGCTCCCAAGTTCAACGTCCACCATGGATACTGGGCTTCCTCGCAACCGCCTGGCCGGGTCGACCAGATGGGCCGCAGTATCTAGAGGGGCCGAGGGGATTCTGCGAAGGAGGCAAGCCGCCCGCTGCAAGGCGCCAGCAACCTGCCAACATGCCTAGTAGGAGAACTCGGAGGAGGCCCAGGAGGAGGCCTGGAAGACTGCAGACGTGCGGTGGGTGAAGAGGGGATGCCCCCATGAAGTCATTTGCTTGTTCGGTGACCTATCGTTTCAACGATATTGCAGGCCCCGTCCGCTTCAGGTGAGCGTTGGCATGCATTAGCACACAAACGCGTGCAGATGAAGCCGAGATATTCGGACGGTTCGTGAGATTTATTCAAATTTCCTCATCTTCACTTGGTTACTCTAGTCTCTATCTGTACTCAGACGCTTCTCTTATTAGATTAGATAGCCACACTTGGCTGGCCTGGGCGCTCTATAGCGCTCTTAAGCTACTTTAATAAATATAATAAGCTTACCGTAATATAATAAAGCTACATAGTGGAGTTTTTACTATTATAAAAGTACTTAATATAAAATAATAACGTGGTTTACTAGTCAGCCGCGCATTTTCTTATCGTATACTAAATCACCTACATTATATAATTAATATCTTTTTCATTGTTAATTATGTAATGTTTGAATTGTTTAATTGGTCATTAATAAGAGTCACCAAACTAAATAAAAAGTTTAAAAATTAATTTCTATTTAGAGAAAGAGTAACTATATTATGTCTTTATCAAAGGCCTATTTTTCTATTCCACTACTTATTTTAATATAAAAAATTTAAAGTGTTTTTTTTTAAATTCAATTATATTTTAAATATATTATAAAGATGGTTAGTTATTGAAGTCTTTCTAATTAATTATTATTTAAAAGAATTAGGTAAATATGTAATTTAGTATGTGATAAGGAAATGCGTAGCTGCCTAATATATGCGGCTGACTAGTAAACCACGTTATTTAAGATATATAATTATTAGATAATTATAAAGAAATAAAAGAAGAACTTACAAAACATAAATAAACTTAATTTTTTATAAATAAATTATTAAAATATAATTAAATATTTTTAAGTTATAGTTTATAACTTTAAATATTAAATGAAATTATTTTTAAAAGTGTTAACTAAACAATAAAAGAACTTAATAGCTCGAAAATTAAAAAATATAAACAGATTTCTTTAAATAAATTAAGTATAATTTTAAATAAATCTTTATTAATAATTCATATAAATATAAAAGAAACCGTTAATATTAAAATATTATAAACACAAATAATTATAAGGTCTTTAAAGTAAGAGAGTTTAAGATTATTATTAGGTAATATAAGCTTATTATCTTCATTTTTGCTTTTTAGAAATTCTTTTTATTATTAAAGAATATTATATAATAAACAGTTTTTTTTATTAAAAGATATTTTAAGAACAATCAACTTTTTAAAAGACTAAGAGGTTAGAGGTAGGCAAAAAGGGAAAAGGTAAATAAGTTGAGGTACGAGTTGGGATAATCAGAGAATCGATTGTATTGATGATTATTCTATGATATGGTGGGAAAGTGTAGTCTATATATAATACAAATATCACATGTAATCATATGTAATCACATGTAATCACATGTAATCACATGTAATCACATGTGGTGCTTAAGTCCGAGCATTTATTATTAAGTTTATACGGGCATATGTGCTTGTCGGCGCTTTAACATGTATATGTAAAGCGTATTTACGTTCGGGCTGTACGTGGGTACAAAGCGTTGTATCTGAGTAGATACGTACTTCGGTTGAGTGTTACGAGCAGATCAAGGCAACCAACTGTGGCACAAAGCAAAAGCTTCGATAATGATGACTCCGTATCATTTTCCTTTGTTCTGCGTTATGTGGCTACGCGCTCACAGTGACAAGTTGCGGCGGGCGTAACATTGAGCCTCTTATTACCATGTAACTTCTTAAGTACGTAACTCTTATAGTACTAATCAAGTATAAGTTTTAGAATTTTAGTAAATATTCTAAGTAAAAGTTATACTCTTTTTAAAGATAATAGAGATTTTTGAAATATTATTATATAACTTGGAATATTCACTAAAATTCTAAAACTTATACTTGATTAGTACTATAAGAGTTACGTACTTAAGAGATTACATGGTAATAAGAGGCTCAATGTTACGCCCGCCGCAACTTGTCACTGTGAGCGCGTAGCCACATAACGCAGAACAAGGGAAAATGATGCAGAGTCATCATTATCGAAGCTTTTGCTTTATGCCACAGTTGGTTGCCTTGACCTGCTCGTAACAATCAACCGAAGTACGTATCTACTGAGATACAACGCTTTGTACCCACGTACAGCCCGAACGTAAATACGCTTTACATATACATGTTAAAGCGCCGACAGGCACATATGCCCGTATAAACTTAATGCTCGGACTTAAGCATCACATGTGATTACATGTGATTACATGTGATTACATATGATTACATGTGATATTTGTATTATATATAGGCTACACTTTCCCACCATATCATAGAATAATTATCAATACAATCGATTCTCTGATTATTCTAACTCGTACTTCAACTTATTTACCTTTTCCTTTTTTGCCTACCTCTAACCTCTTAGTATATATATCAAATTTTTTATTAGGTATCTTATATATAACGTGGTTTACCAGTCAGCCGCGCATATCAGTCAGCCGCGCATTTCCTTATCGCATACTAAATTGCATATTTACTTAATTTCTTTGAATAATAACTAATTAAAAAGATTTCAGTATCTTTATAATATATTTAAAATATAACTAGTTAAATTTAATAGAAAAAGACACTTTAATCTTTTTATATTGAAATAAGTAGTGAAATAGAAATATGGGTCTTTGATAAAGATATAATATAGTTACTCTATCTCTCAATAGAAATTAATTTTTAAAACTTTTTATTTAGTTTGGTGACTCTTATCAAAGACTGATGAAAAAATTTGAACGTTATATAACCAACAATGAAAAAGATATTAATTATATAATGTAGGCGACTTAGTATACGATAAGGAAATGCGCGGCTGACTGATATGCGCGGCTGACTGGTAAACCACGTTATATTAAATTAGATAGCTATCTTTAGCTAGCCTGGGCGCTTTCTAGTACTTTTAAATTACTTTAATTAGTACTATAAATTTATTATAATATAATAAAGCTATATAGCGGAATTCTGCACTTAGCATAAGATATTATACGTAATTTCACATCTCTTCTGCGACTAGCCCCTCATCACGATATCTTCTCCTTCCTTTTTTCCAGGTTGCCGCCCTCTTGGCGCCGAAGCATGCACACCCATCCTGGGCTCGGTAGCAACCCAACGCCCATGGGGGAGTTCGTGAGCGCTTCTACTCGGTAGGCTTCATGGATCTGACCGAGATAGCCGTGCTGTCTCAATCTTGATGAACCAGAACGCGAACTTGGATAACCCCCATCTGCCAACTCCGCCTATCTGTTGACTGCGATCCTTGAAACAAGATGGGATGATGAAATACCTAGTCCAAGGGCCGCGTGGTAGGAGCGCGGGGGTCACTGATGTGGATGTGGCCGGCCAGTGGTTAGGGAGATAGTGCTCGCCTCCAAAAGCTTCCAGAACAATGTTCAGAAACTGCATGTTGTGGATAAGGCAGTGCGAGCAGTCAGCAATCGGCACCAGCCCGCAACAGCTGCCCGAAAACTCACGACATCTCTCTGGATTGTGGCCCGAAATCCCGCTGTCGGCCGTAAGTGCCTTAGGTAAGCAGACAGCGCCAAGGGGAGAATGATGACATAACGCTCTGGCCCGTGCCCATCCAATGACTAAGGTCCCGAAAGGCAATTGCTATCACGTGCACCTTCGCCGGCCCATCGGAGCTTGCAGCTTGACGACCGCCTGTCACGGTCCGGAAAATTCCATACCATCACGGCCAAACATTCAAATCACCTCTCTCAGCCATTGAGGCCGCAATCATGGGTGCCAGCGAGTCCAAGTCGTCCTCCAGCACGCCTCCACACCTGTGGAAGGCGTAAGTTCATCCCAATTGCCCCCGCCCGTCGGGTGCACCCTCTCCGTTCAACAGAATCCGTTCGGCTGATTCCAAGATTCGCGCAGCAGCTCGCCCAGCGGCATCTCCCACGACCTCGTCGAGTCCCTGCAGACTAGCCATGAGGTAATTACTGCCTTCCCCCAATGAACCGAACACTTCCGATCAATCTCTGTGCCTTGTTCCCATCGGAGTGTCGTCCTCCGGCTCGATGTTTCCATCCGCCTCCATAACCCCCCTTGGCGCATCTATTCCCGCAAGAAGCCGAACATCCAAAAAAAAAAAAAAAAGCTAACCACCGAGCTATGTTCTCTCGCCGAACAAAATCAGACCGACGCATCCCGCACGCAACTTACCGAGATCCAAATCCAGCGCCGCGTCGCCGAGGAGCTGAAGCGCCTGCAGGCCAAGGAATCCGAAGCCCTCCGCCTCGCCCACGACAAGATTGCCGGCGAAGACAGGCCCGCGCCCGAGGGCCAGCGCAGCCACGAGAGCGTCAAGAAGGATGTCGAGGCCCTGCGCGCCAAGCTGGCCGAGCGCAAAAAGGTGCGCGATTTGCCCGAGGCGGTGGAGACGGCGCGCGGTAACGTCGTGCGGTGTCTGCGGGATAATGATCGCCGGCCGCTCGATTGCTGGCAGGAGGTTGAGGCTTTTAAGACGGAGGTGAAGAGGTTAGAGAAGGGGTGGGTTGAGAAGATTGTCTCGTGAGTTTGGGGAATGGGAGAGGGGGGGGGATTGTTGGACTTCCTCTCTGGGTCTGTCTCTGTGAAGAGTGGGAGACGGATTGGGAGAGGTTGGTTTCTTATTTGCGTTTCTTGTGAGCCATGAGGGGAGGGTTAAGAGAGATACGCTGAATCAAGAGAAGAGGCATGGCAGTAGGACGTGAAAGTGTAACAACATGCTACTGGCGGGCAAACGATACAAGAGAGAAAAAAGGGTATAGATGGCGAATGAATTTTGGTTCACATCACAAGTTCCCCCTGAGTGGAAGTCTTTATTTCTTTTGCTTCATATTTCAGCCACCAGCTCTATCAGGTGTTGACCCTCTGACGGAGCCTGCTGCGTCGTCTTCTGTCTAGCAGCCAACACCTCCTTCCGTCGCAGACCCTCAGCCCTCTTCCGCTCCCTCCTGGCATCGGCGTCCTCCCACGCGGCGCCCCCCTCGCCCACTTTAGGCGGGGGACCGGCAACGGCCTCCTGCAAAGCGGTGCGGAACCGCGCGATGCGGGCGGCGTTTTCTACGAAACGCTCGTTGGCGATGTGGAGTAGATCGCGGAGGTAGTCTGGCGTGACGGTGCAGTGACGACGTGCGCTGCCCTCGGCGCCATCGTTGACGTCTTCATCGACGTAGCCGATGAGAGATTCGAGGGCGAGGCCCATTGTTCTTACGCCTACCATTGGTGTCACGGGCGGTGACGATGAGGCAAAGGTTGAGGCTGCGGCATCGTCTTGTGATGCGGAGGGGAGGAGGTTCAGGGCGCCGCTTTCGCGGAAGCCGGCTGCGAGGGCGCATTTTAGGAGGAGTTGGGCGTGGGATAGAGATGCTGTGAGGATGTGGAGGATCTATGTGGGGAGATGTATGTGTCAGTCATGTGAGTTTCAGTGCTGCTCAGGATACGTGTGTAAGAAAGGTGTGTCTGGAGGTGACATTGCCTCGGCAAGAGAACGAGTGAGGTTAGGTGTGTATGTGTAAGAGTAAATGAAATTATGCATGAGAGAAATGGGAACGGCCTTGCATACCATGGGCTCGAATTTGAAGTGAACAAGCCGCTTCCGTCGCCCAGACTGAGAGCGGCCCGATACTCCGACAGCCTGTCCGGGTTCTTTCCCTGCTCCTCTTCCCGCGTCTTCGTCCACGAGACCAAACAGACGCAATAGGTCCTCGTCGTTGTCGTGCGATCCGGGGACGGGATCGTGCGATACGAACAGCCACGTGCCTCCTCCTCCCTTTCCGCCGGTTCCAGCTATCGTTTCGAGGACTGCGGTGGTAGGGGTAGTATCACCATCGCCTTGATCGTCTTGAGAAGAAGGTGAGATTACTGCTGCTGCTGCTGCTGCTGTCCCCTGGTCCGTTCCCGCAGCCCCTCCCGCCTTGCGACCCTCAAGAAACACGCTGACGCGCCCCGCGCAGCTGCTCGTCGTGACGAAGCCGTCGAGGGCGTTGAGCTCGTCAATCAGCTCGCGGATGCCGACGTCCACAGATCCCTTGGGCGAGGCGTCGGTGTACTCGGCATCAGGCACGCTGAGCTGTTCCAGGATCTTGTGTTTGCGGGTGGTGAAGGTGGCCGGTGAGACGGGCAGTTGTTGGTGTCCTTGTTTCTTTTGCTGAGGCGCCATGGTGATTTTCCCTGTGCCTTGCGTAGACTTGGTAGTCGGGTACGTGACTTGAATCTCTGGATCCTTGTGGTGGAGTTTCTTCAACGGGGAGGGGGTGTGTTCCTTTCGTTCTAAACCTGGGAAGAAATCCTTGATGGCCCTGGGTGGTTCTTTTCTGCACCTTGACTGATTCGGTCGCTGTGAGATGAAGAATACAGGGGGATCGGGCGTGCGTTGGGCGTTGAGCTGGTTTTCGTCACCGGACTGCGTGTAAGTGAAGTCTGCCCGCAGTTAGACTCATGTGAGATGAAAAAGTGTGCGGTCGTGAGTTCTGTGAGGTACCTCTACCGTGTGAAATCTGACCTGCATACACAGTGCGTCTTCGGGACGGGAGCCGGCGAACCCAAGCTTGTTGTATAGTACCCTACCATCCGATGCCACCTTAGGAAAGTAGTGAACCAGAGAACATCTTCATTGAATCAGGTTATTTGGTACAAATGGTGTTGTGTTTTTAATATATATTCTGACTTGACCTCTGCCAAGTCGGTGATCGATGCCCCTAGCTTTGCGTGTAGATCCCCCCTCATTCGCCCGACGGCGCCGGTATCTTGGATGCCCAGAGTCTGTCAGTATACAGCTCATCGTATGACTGTAACTCCTTGTTGTTGATTGTGTTCCTGGTTTGATACAGGGGAGAACTCGGGAGAGTCCGAACATGCGGTGCACTCGATTGAGCCACGTCCGGATAAATGACTTAGAAACCGCGGGTGTCCTTTGCATCAGCTGATCTCAATGGTGCCTATAAGAGCATTCAAATATCCTGAGATCAATCAGGTGTTGAATCAACGCTCTTCTATTGTTGGCTGAGAAGAGAAATCAATCATGATAGACGCAGAAGGGATTTTAATGAGCGAAGATATCATAAATTCTTGTTCTACGAGCGATGCAAACCGCTTGAACATTCGTCGATACGTTGACTGCCACCTTACATCTCATGACTGGCCTTGAAAAGCAACAGCAATAGTTTTCGAATCTCATCATGCATGGTCGTTGGAAAGTAGTGAAATCCCATTTCTTACGAAGTTCAAGATCTGCCCTGGTCAGGGAAATCGTTCATTTTCAGCCAGGGCCGACCGGGGACTTTGAGCAGAGAACATCCGATTTCATCCAAGTTGGGTGAGATTTGGAAGAGAGACTCCTCTGTATGAGCAAATGCTTCATTCATGAGTTTTTCATGAGAATCTCATAAGATGTTTGTAACCCAGCTTAATATTCCTTCAGTCGCGTCATCCTGAGGCTATGAATGAACTATAGGCATTTCGTACTTCCTGTTCAACAGAGTAGCACACCTTTCGTTTCTGGGGTTAAAAGACATCCATATTCGGGTGAGGTAGAGTTATACGATGGCTTTAATGTGATATGAGTAATCCATCGTGAGTGGGGTTGGAAAGTGGTCACGAGATGTCATCTGAACCAATCTAGCTGTCAAAAAATAAGCTTTGTAGACAACTTGTCAGTAGCCTATCTTTGCCACACCAAGTTTACACGCAAAACTGTTATGATCTTAGGATATGCTGTCCTTGGTTTCCACTATTCTCCGAATGCGGAGTCTCTGTGGGACACAGAGATTAGAGCCTCACCACGTTTAGTTCTCACTTCACGTCTCACTCAAGATCTCCTAGTTTGATCGATGCGATTGAATCATAATGTCTTTTGCTTATGCTATCTACCAAGTAGAATCGAGTATCCGCTGAATGCGAGATACCTCCTGGCCCTTGGCCTGGATCCATCCAGAACGCCTGCATGCTGTCCCGTACCGTCCCTTGACTTTTGTTGTTTGCTCCCTAAACGCCGTCATGCATCATGTATATACAGGTCATTAATAAGAAAAAGAATATCCGAAACCGCCCGCAACAGAGCCAAAAGCGCTTCTAAATCGATGAGATAGCCTGCTCCTCCTTCTCGGCCTTGACGACAGGCGCGATGGCCGCCTCGCCCTTCTCCGCCGCCTTAGTCGACGACGCAGGGGCGGCGCCCTTGCGCTCCATCTCCTCGAGGTACTGCGCGTAGCGCGACTTCTTGTTGTGGATGCCGCACTCGGTCTTCTGCTGGCCCTTCCAGCGGCCGGCGCGCTCGTCCTCGCCCTCCTTGACGGGGACGGTGGAGTGCCAGTCGCCGACGGACTTGTACCCCTGGTCGAGGAGGTCGTTGTAGGGGACGTTGTGGGTCTTGATGTACTCCTGGACCTGCTTGAAAGACCAGCTGGCCATGGGGTTGATCTTGATGACGCCGCGCTCGTCATCGACCTCGATGACGGGCATCTTGTCGCGGGCGCCGCCCTGGGAGCGGCGGCGGCCGGTGAGGATGGCGGCGACGCCGAGTTCCTGGTAGGCGCGCTGGAGGGGCTCGACCTTTGCGATCCAATCGTACATCTCGGCCTCGGTCTCCCACAGCTTGGGGCCGTACATGGCCTCGAATTCCTCGGTGGAGGCGACGCCGTAGGGCTTGAAGATGTGGAGGGCGACGTTGGGGTAGCGCTCCTGGATGCGGTCGACGAGGGTGTGGGTCTCCTTGAAGTGATAGAGGGTGTCGAGGAAGATGAGGTCGACGTTGGCGGCGGAGGGGTTCTCCTTTTGAATCTTGGAGAGCATGTCGAGGGTGACGAGGCCGGTGAGGCCAAAGGCCGTCGACTGGAAGAGGTTGGGGAACATGATCTTTGAGAAGCGGAGGATGTCGAGGGGGTGCATGTTCTCGAGCTGGTCGTTGAGGTGCTTGAGATGGGGTTGGGTGAGGGAGATCAAGGGGAGCGCGGGGATGGACGACGACGTCGATGAGGCATCTGTGGCGGAACCGTATCCGGATTCGACTTCGGCACGATCGAGCTTTGCAGCGTCGACGGCGTTCAACCGAGGAGACGACTCGACGGAGGACGTCTGGGTCGTGGGCTCAGCAACGGCAGACATTGTGTGTGAGGTTGTGTATATGAGTTGAAGAAGGGGGGTTGATGAGCGGGACAGAGTGTGGTTGCGAGGCACCACGGGTATATGACGAGTAATGGTTGTAAGAGGGTGTGTGTTGAAAACCCGGGGTATATTCACTCGAGAAGGCTTGGATCAAGAGACGAGATCGGAAAAGGCAAATGACGCAAGATGCTGAAGCTGGGGAAGAGTTCAGATGTTCGGATCAGAGAAGAGGAAGAAGGCAGTAGTTATTTTATGAGGACAAGAGGCACTTAAGGCAGGCAGAACTTACACCGCGAGTTAAAGAGGCGGGAAGAGGAGGACTTGTTCATATTGGGCACAGGGCATCACCAAGCAACATTACTAATTTGCTTTCCAACCCATTCTCAGACAGCAGCCCCGATCGAACCAAAGGCCGAGAGGGACTGAGGGAAAAGCGACGGAACACCAGAGCCCGCTTCCCAACTATTGCGCAATCGCAGCTTGTTTGGAGCATCGCATTGAACAAGCGCTGAGGAATTTGCATCTCTAAGCAAGAGGCGTGGTCTGGGAGCAATCACGACATCGACGCTAATCCTTTCGTGATGAAAACTGTGCAATATGATTGGTTATGGGTCGCAGGGGTTGCTCCGTACCGTCGAACATCCCGCAATTGCGCCATCGCCCCGGACGCCGGAGTGGATGTTGACAATGGCAAAGTTTCCCCAACAGCCGGCCCCGAAAGCCGGGAGCCGTGACGTTCAGAGTATAGATATTTGGGGCCGGGCTCCTCCTCCGTGACTACCGAAGTTGATGATCTCCTCAGTATCTGGTTCACGATGAGCGCTGTCGAAAATAGGGGCTCAAAGGGGGGAGATCTTGTCGTTGAACAGAAACGCTGGTGTAAGTTCGCCATGATGATGCCATAAGACGTGATTCCGCCCGGGCCACTAGTCGGCTTGGCCTAGTGTATGTGGTCCCGGCAATCGGTCCTGACAAAACACATCGGCGCGGCACGGTAGTCGGTAACCGCCCGGCCGTCGGTGTGGATGAGCCGGAGGAGGTGGTCTGCGCCTCTCGTCGTATCTCCATCGCCCAACCAGTCACCATACGAGTTTCGACTCCCGATCGAGGGCATCATCCATGAATGCCCGCCCGCGAAATTTTCTGACAAACCCACAGTTGGGTTTCAACACCAGATGCGTTTCGACCGTTAACACCGCGGAAACGCCCTTCGCTTACCGACTTGTTGCGAGAGAAGCTTCAGCCTTCGCCGCGTCCAGCGCCTCTTAAAATGAATGGGGTACGAGCCTCTCTCTCTCTCTCTCTCTCTGTCAGTGAGGTGTTGAAGCCGCTCTCTCGTTCCAATAAAGTCCAATGACTCGGAGTTGGTACTTCAAACAAGGAACTGAGCAGACCAAGACTTCTTGGACCCTTTGTTTCTTGGACAACATCTCGACATCCACAAGTAACTGGGAATGAGATGGTAGCGAGTCTAGGGACAGCTGAGAAGGCTCCCACTTGGGTGACCGCTCATTCATCCCGCCGCCTCCGCCGCTCTCTGTCTCCCTTCGCCAACGCAGAAGCAGACATACATGCCGATTACGGCTACCTGCGCCGTCCTCAAGAGGACGTGGAGTCTATGCTCCGGAGTCCGGACAGATGACATGTGTCCTAGTCTCCTGGATGTGGACTGTGTATGATGTTCGGTGTCTGGTGCAAGCGTGCGTCTTATTTCCGCGCGGCTCCGATTCTTTATCAGCGGAGCCAGCACCTGAAGCAATGATCAGTTTTTGGTCGTCGCGGTGACTGGTGGATGACAAACTTACCAGCAGACAAAAGGCCAAGACGAGCCTGCACTACGTGACTGCTCGCCTGCCAACAACGCAGGTGGCCTGGGCCAAGGCATGGAAGGTAGGCCAGTGCGTGGTTCTGCGTACGCTAGTACGGCGATAGGGCTGTCCTGGCATCCCTCTCTGACGTCCCCTCCCCTTGATGACAGGCGTCGGTAGACTCGGGCGAGGCTGATGGTCCCGCAGATCGGCGGGAGTTTGCTCTCTCAAACTTCCCTACTCACGTGTTCGGACTCCTGGCCAAAGTTTTCTCCTTTCACCTTGAACTGAACCTGGAAAGTGACTGACCGACCTCAGAGTGATGTAATTGAGCCTCACCATGGGCCTCCCTTCCCCCCTCAGCTTATCAAAAGTTCAGAACAGACATTTTAGAGGGGTAACCACGTGATTCTGGCGTCCACTTATGGGAACTTGGGAAGCCACGGCCCACGGGAGAGCTTGCCCATTGCGACACCAACTCAGCCAATCGCACGCCGCCCAAGAAGTCGGGACACGGGAATTGCGGGGCTTCGTTCGGATCCGGACCAGTGACGGCGAGGCGGGGGCACACAGTCAGACTTCACAGTGTCCAGTGCCCCGCCAGCTCTCCGCCGCGAGTCCCCCATCCTCCTCTTTGGTCGTCTGTCGTCCAACCACGCCGACATGTTTTACCTTTCGAAACAATGAGGGCTGATAAGTTGAGCTGAGTCTTTAAGCTTTACGTTCACCACGACGCGGGCTCCGAGCTTCTGTCTTTACCCCCTCTCTCCTCTCTCTCTGTCGCGCTTCCTTTCTCTTTCTCTCCCCGCAATCCTCCAAGCCGCCGCTGCCGTCACCGACAGCTGTTGCTGAAGGTCCTTGCTCCTCTTCCTGCATCGTCCGCTATCCGTCCCGTCTCTCAGTGTCCCGTTCCCCCCTCCCGTCTCAGCCTTGTCTCCGTCTTAGTCTACCGTAGCTTGAACCCCGCCGTAGAGAAAGAGACCAGAGAGAACATTTCCGCTATGGCCGACGCAAGCCCCGCCAAGTCGACAACGTCGCCCCGACCTCAGCTGACCTCGTCCATGAGGAGCAGCTCCTTCCTGCGCGAGCACCAGCAGTACCGGCCTCCGCAGCACCCGGAAAGCCGCTTCGGCATCGACACCGTCGTCGAAGACCTCAGCAACGTCGCCGTCTCCCCGCCAAAGCAGCACAACCACAGCGCCAACCACAAGCACTATGCGGGCTTCAACGGCATCCCCTCAGAGGACAACCCGCCCACCATCCGCAGCGGTCTCAACCACAGCTACTCGCACCCCAACTGCGCGCCCGCGGTTGGGAAGAAGCAGTCGCGCCTGGTGGCCACGCTATTCTATAAACCGAACGGCGGCGACCACCACACGGCGGCCGCCGGCGGTGGACAGAAGAAGAGCGGCGTCGCATCCCCCCCGACCCTCACCCCCGACAGCGCCAGCGGCAAGGAGTCCCTCCCGGCCAACTTCGCGCCGACCCAGGACCCCGAGTCCTTCCCCCTCGAGCCCCCGACCCTCGAGCCCGAGAAGCTCGACCACCTGTACGGCTCCCACGTCTCGCCCATGTGCGTGACCTCGTTCCTGCACCTCATGTCGACCTTCCCCCTGCCCGCCGGCGAGTCCGACTACAGCTCCTCCCACCGCTGCCTCGACAGCCAGGAAAACCCGCGCGTCGTCGAGCTGACGCTCGACCCGGCCCCCTGCCAGAGCTACCTCAGCCTGACGGACCTGCGGCGGCACGAGCTCATCTACCGCTTCGAGAGGGAGTGGAGCGTCGACGTCGCGCTGCAGCCCGACACGCTGTGGCGCCGACACCCGCGGCTTGTTGTTTTCGACATGGACAGCACGCTCATCACGCAGGAGGTCATTGACCTCATGGCCGCGACGCTCAAGGATCCGCCCGACCTGGGCGCGCGCGTCGCCGATATTACGCATCGCGCCATGCTCGGCGAGCTCGAATTCGAAGCTGCGTTCCGCGAGCGCGTGCAGCTCCTGAAGGGTCTTCCGGCCTCCTGCTTCGAGCAGCTGCGGCCCGTTCTGGATGTCACCAAGGGCGTGCCCCGCCTGATCAAGGCCCTGAAGCGCCTCGGTGTGAAGACCGCGGTGCTGTCGGGCGGTTTCTTACCCCTGACGAGCTGGTTGGCTGGCGAATTGGGCATCGACTATGCGCACGCCAACGAGGTTGTCATTGACGAGGCTGGTAAGCTCACTGGGGAGGTCAAGGGTCTCATTGTGGGCAAGGAGCGGAAGCACGACCTCCTGATTGAGATCGCGGCCAAGGGGGGTATCGACCTGTCGCAGGTCGTTGCCGTGGGCGACGGCGCAAACGATTTGCTGATGATGCGCGCGGCGGGCTTGGGTGTTGCGTGGAACGCTAAGCCGAGGGTGCAGATGGAGGCTGATACGAGGCTCAACAGCGAGAGCTTGTTGGACTTGTTGTATCTCTTTGGGTTCACGGGAGATGAGATTGAGCAGCTTGCCTCGTAGATTGGCGGGGGGCTGTCTGTAGACTCTTGTGTGTGGGAGTGGTGTTGTGGGCGTAAGTCGAATGGTGTTTTGGGGAGTTGGGTGACACCGAGGAAAGGCATGGCTGTTTTTTTTTGGGAGTATTCTTTACTCGCCCTCATGATTCAATTGCATGCCATTGAGTTTCCTGCTGCAAATATGTTCAGATGAAATCTCGCTTTATGAGTCTCCGAGCACAGAAAACCGGATAAGGTAGTTTGATGAGCCGCATGGCCGAGTGGTGCAGATTCAACTTTGGAGATGCTGTCCAAGGTAGAAAAACGTGGATAAAACTGAATTCTCCCTATCTACACACGAAAACCACCTTCCGCCCATTGCACACTTTGTGCAAAAACACGTCTTCTCAACGCAGGTATCTATAATTCTTTAAGGGTAGCCGTCCTTGCCCCACTTGTTGTACTTTTCGTGCAATTCCTGTGTCATGAGTGTCAGCCCGGATATCTCCTCCGCTTCAAATCCTGAAGAATCCCGGCCATTGAGTAAAGCCGAACTCCCACGAATGGAAAGTCTCTCTGCCGTGGCAGGATAAATCAGAAGGTATATAAAACGTACCTTGGGGAGAGTGACATCGGGGATGATGACAGTGTTGACGGCGCTGGGAGCGTCTCTGGGCTCGTTTGCGGGGTTGCCACCGGGGTGGTACTTGTACTTGCCCTCGCTGTCGGTCTCCCAGGGCATACCGGCCTTCAGGACGGGGCTCTCGGAGGTAGAGGAGGTGGGGGAGCGGCCTGCGCGGGAGGGGGGAAAAACGTCAATGGCTGTTCAATCGTCGATGATTATTCTTCAATGATCCCTAAGACGTACCGAAGTAGAGGCCGGCACCGCCGAGGGCAGCAACCATGACACCGCCGAGGATCTGTATGACAAAAATTCGATTAGCCTTCCATTCCGGCTCTCTTGCACGCATTTGTTTCGATGCCGCTTCCAGCCTGACCGCCCGCATCCCTCTGCATGACTATCGCTTCTCCGTAGACTAGGCGATACGTTTTGGGTTGCCTCAGAAGCTCGGCTTCGCGGGAAAGGGATGCGGCGGGCGGTGGACGGTGGACGGCGGACGGGTCGATCTAAAGGCATCTCGGCTGGATGGACGGGATATCACGCACGAGGGTCTCGGGGTTGCGCTTGGACTCCTGGGTGAGGGTCTGCTTGGCCTGCTCGTCGGCGAAGCGGCGGATGGAGGTAGAGAAGGCGCGGCGGGCGACGAAGGAGGCCATTGTTGCGGTGGTGGACGGGGTGTCGTTGGGGGTGTGATGTTGTGAGTGGTGTCGGCTTGTCGTATGATTTCGGAGCTTCAGGTTCGTCGACAGAATCCCGTCCCAAGGTTGAAATTCGGGAGAAACGATTGGCCGGGTGTAAGGATAGAGGTGATTGGTCAATCGAGGGCGATGTGGGCATTACCTCATCCTACGCCCTCTAGATGCATGCTATCTGTCTAAAGGAGCTATTGCACTAAGACATATATGTGACCAGCGGCTCGCTGCATGTGAGAGTCCTATTCAGCGAATGCGTAAGGTACTAGTACGCAACATAGAGATGCCTTCACTTTGAGCCAGCTTATTTTTTTCAGGATTCTTTTTCTCCTAGAAAAATTGTGAAGACCATTATGAGACCAAGAGAGAGACATGTCAATAAATATCAGAGCTACACTAGCCAAGGCTCATGATGATCAACTGCAATTTAACCTGACTCTCGAATCTCTAGACCTTACGCTTTGCAATGACTATGAACATCGTATGGGTCGAATGACAGCCCCACGCAGACCAAAGAAGCTCGCTTGGCCATCTTTAAATGACTGGCGATCGTCTCGAGATCATGATTAAGATACAGAGCTTATCTTGAGCAATCAGGTGCTCAGAGACCTGCGTACTTCAAGCCTCCCCGCGCGGTGCGCTCCCCTCATCGAAAAGTTTATTCGTATGGACAAAAAGGGAAGCAACGATGCATCAATGATACGTGCTGATAGACCTACTGTCGAACAGAGGAAAACAAAATTATAGCGTCTTTTGACATGGCTGGTCGACCTTGTCTTGGACATATACTGTTTCAATGAGCTGGCGTGCACGAAGCTGGAGACCATAGAGCGCAGTTCGTCCGCAGACACGTGCGTTCGTTGTCAAAAACAGTCAGAAGACCCGAGTTGGTCAGGGTATCCCATGCTGAGTAAACAAGCCATAATGTGGTGGACGGGACAGTTGGCACTGGCAATGGCGGCATAATCGTATCCTCCTACGTATTAAAGCAGTGAACCTCATGGACGAGGATCGGATTCAAGACGTCTCATTCACTGTAGAGCATGCTTGGATTGTGTACGATTGGCCCTATTCATGCCGTGTTCCAAGCATTTCCCTAGCGATGCTGCTCGGACGAAAGTCTTCCGAGCGAGGACCAACCTAGCAGAGTAGAGAGATCATTCCGGGAACCCTCAGCGTTGCAGCAGCTCAACGGCGTTCAAAGGAGGGGCGAGACGCGTCTCAAGCTACAGAACATAATAAGTAAGACCAAAACAACGGTTTAGCATTCCTCACATGTCAGCAATGAGAATAGAGGAATGGGAGGCTGAGAAACACCGCCAGTTTGGATTGGTATTGAGCAGAGTCGCAAACCAAAGGCTAGAACAACCATGGCCTGTGCGTTTTATGCTATTTGGACCTTGGTGTCCGTAGGGCAAAGGCATCGACGGGTACCTGAACGAAGACACGCTCCTTGGTCCTTCGTGCTCCTCATCTCATCACCCCAGCACTGCAGCCATCGCGGCGCCGCGTGCTGTTGGCCTGTTGCTGCTGTAGCAATTTAAAGCTGGGACCCAGATCCGGCAATTGTAATTAAATTGGCCTGGCCTAGTTGCACCGGCGCCTGCATAAAAACGCGGCCAAAGCCGTTTCGCAGGGGGCTTGAGCGTCAGCACTATCGTGAATGAGATGTGAGACACGACAAAGGATGTTAGTGATGACAGACGGCAGCTACATCCTGCGCTATCTGAGCTAAACCAAATCAGGGCTATATGCAACCTTCCATATGCACAAAGCACGGATACCCAGGTTGTGCCGCCCCTTACATTGGGTCGCAGTATCCGTAAGGTAAAGTCTTGCAGCGAATCTAGCGAATCCAGCCCAGCACCCAGAAAACCGCCGTCCGACTTGCACTGCGGTGCCCCAATCCCTCTCCGTCACTGTTGGGCAATCCATGCCTGGTCTGGTCGCTTTCTGGTCTCGAAAAAGCAACACCAGGCACAAGACGAGACTCTGAGTCTTGTCCGACGTCTCTTCGTTTCGCTCATTCACGGCTTGCTCGCCATCCCAACCTTCCTTTCTCCGTCTCTCTCTCTCTCTACCTCTCTCTACACGATACAATACGACAAACGATACCAACCGATTCACTCCCTCGCCTTAATACGCGGGCCTTTTACAATTCCTTCGCACGACCTCTTTTTTAATACCAGATTCCGACCGCAGACTTTTGCGCTTCAGCCTTTTCCAAACCTTCTACGATCCATTCTCCGAACCTACCGAACCCTTCGTCCCGCGCAATAGTCATCACAACCTCATGTCAAAGCGCCGATTTTAAGACCGACCACCACCTTTCCCCCCCGAACGCTCTCGAGAGGCTCTTCCCCAACCTCGCGATAACTTTTGGTCACCACGTCCAAGAAGCGACATGTTATAGCGGAGGAAACTTGTAAACTATCAAAAATCGTTGCGCCGCCGATTCGACTGCGACAATATCGCACAAAATGACCTCAAAAGAGCAGGCCGGTGGGCCCACCACGCCGACCGACGATGGCGGCTTTCCGAAACCTCAATTTCCTGGACGCTCCGACCGACCAGGCCCGCCGAGTATCATCTCGTCGCGAATGACCGATATCGCGTCCGACGACGGCGGGGAAGCCGTTGCCCAGACCTTATCCGAAAACCCGCGCAGAAAATCTGGTCTGGCTTCAGAAACTATGTCGCGGCCAGGGACGGCCAAGACTGGCATGTCTGGACCCCTCGAAGGCCGGAGACGAGGCCCGCCCCCACGGATGAACTACATCACAAGTCTCAACGAGAAGAGGGGAAGCATCGGGGGCTGCAGTACCGCTGGTTCAATCAGCAGCAGGCCGCCCAGCTCGACGAGTCGAAGCCATGTTCCGTCTCTTACATCTTCAGCCTTCTTTCGTCCCATGAGTTCGCAGAAGTTACAGGCCCAACGTGGTGGTTCACGACCTGCGACTCGCCAGCAACCTACATTGGAAGATACCGAACCTACGCCCGAACACAACCAGAGTGCCGCCGCAGCAGCGGCAGTAGCCAGTGGTGGACCAAATGCTCGGCACAGCGTCATCTCGAACCCGGTATCGAATCCCGTTGCACGTCTCCAGCGGCAGCTCAGCGACGACGACAATATGAGACCGCCTCCGTCTCGCGGAACCGAATACACCGACCAAGGAACATACGACCGAATCACAGCAAGCACGAGCCCAACTCATGGTCACTATGCCGCCGGTAGTATGTCCGAGAGCGTCACTCCGCTGCAACGGAATCAGCGCAATAGCCGGAACCTGAGCGTCAATATCGACAGGGGCTTCAGAGAACGAGGCAACCAACCTAGCCCCATCAAATCGCCACGATCATTCCGCTCGAGTTTTTTGCTGCCGGGTAGAAGTGACCAGAACAAGTCTAATCGGATTTTGCCCGGCGGAGAAAAGCTCTCATCGACCGCATCGACACCGCACCTCAACCCCGTAGACTCTTCGAGACCTGCCGACAAGAACAACTTGAAGAAGTCCAAGACCAACCTTGGCTATGTTTTCCAGTACTTCGAAGGCAATACCGTCTTCTGCTTGGGAGGCCGATTCCAGAACACCAAGCATAGGCCAGTCAATGTAGCCACTGGCCTATTCATCATCATTCCCGCCGTACTGTTCTTCGTCTTCTCAGCCCCTTGGATATGGCACAACATCAGTCCGGCCATTCCCATTACCTTCGGATACGTCTTCTACATTTGCATTTCCTCCTTCCTCCACGCATCCCTGTCGGACCCAGGCGTAAGTCGACATTTTACTATTTCTATAGACATATAACTAACCGCGCATAGATTCTACCTCGAAACCTGCACTCCTTCCCACCCGCAGATTCGACCGAGGACCCTCTCCGGCTCGGGCCCCCGACCAACGACTGGACGCTAATCAAGTCAGCAGAGTCGGCGACGGCCGCTATGGAAGTTCCGGTCAAACATTGTAGAACATGTAACATTTGGCGACCTCCCCGGGCTCATCACTGCCGTCTTTGCGACAACTGCATCGAGACCCACGATCACCACTGCGTGTGGCTCAATAACTGCGTCGGAAAACGCAACTATCGATATTTCTTTGCTTTCGTCTCTTCGGCAACGCTCCTCTCTCTCTACCTTCTCGGCGCCTCTCTTGGCCAAATTCTCGTACACATGCACCGATCCGACATTTCTTTTGGTAAATCCATCGACGACTTCCGCGTTCCCTTCGCCATGGTCATCTACGGCTTCATTGCCTTCCTATATCCTGCTGCTCTCATGGGCTACCACATCTTCCTCATGGCGCGAGGCGAAACAACAAGGGAGTACATCAACTCCCATAAGTTCATCAAGGCAGAGCGGTTCCGTGCCTTTACTCAGGGCAGCATGATCAAGAACTGGATCGTCGTCCTCTGCCGACCGAGGCCTCCTACGTACTACCAATTCAAGAAGAGATACAGTGGTGGTGATCAACGCCTCGGTGCTCTCCGGGATCAGAAGGTGGACGTCCAGGGAATGGAGATGCAAAACGTCAGACCATCGACAGGGTTTCAAGGACCCGTCTCTTTGCGCAACGAAACAAACACTACCGCGACATAATTACCCTTTTCTTTGATTGTTTTCCGCGTGGCGTTGTTTAGGAGCCATCATACGTTTTAACGGATCCTGGATACCTGTAATGTATGTTTTCTATTATACCCGGCTTTACCTATCAAAGCAGGTAAACAGGCATAAAATACTTGGCGCAGGGGACGAGAGCCCGTATTATTCTATCGCGGCAATGCGCTACGATATCGGAGCCAGTACATAGACGTTTGGCGCAAATTGCTGCGCTTGTAACAAATGCTAGTTCATAACCCCGAGTTGAAAGCTTCCCCAATCGCGTGACGTGTGTGTCCTTTGCGTTCCTGAATCACATCTGCTTGCCTCTAGCAATCAATGATCAAACACACTTCCACATCACCGTTATGCTCAAACACTTCGAGACTGTGAATCACTAATTCGTGCGACCACTGGCAAACATATAAATAGGCAGACTTTCTTCTATCTACGTACCATCTGCTGCCACAGAATTCCAACTTGGACACCAGACCAGACAGTAGCATCAACCAGCAGAAAAGAAGCTCTTGAATCTCCCAGAACTTTTCACGATTAAGAAGTCTAGGTAGGCAGGGAGCGATCAAAACTACAATGGCCTACGTATTCGACGGATACTCCGAAGCCAGCTCGGGCCGGAACACACCTCGTGGCCAGCAAGGCCCTGGCAGCGCAGGAGGAGGGGGAGGGGGAGGGGGAGGAAGCCGTCAGCAGCGACGTTATGGGAACGGAGATATTCCCGTCGGCGGCCTACCTGGCGGGATATACTACGGCACGGGTCGCTTTTACGAGGAGAATTTGCGTAATGAGCAACGGCGGCGGCAACAGCAACAACAGCAGCAGCAAGAAGATAATCAACAGCGACGGCAACAGGGACAGAATCAAGGCCAACAGCGGCACGGGCATGATCCACAGTGGCAGCAAGGAGAGCAAGGTGAACAGCATCGAGATGATCAACAGGAGCAGCAGCCGCGGTACGCCTATTCCGGTGGCTTCCGCAACATGAACGGCAATGGACCTGAGAATCCTGAGAATTATGGAGTGAGAGAAGCTTCTGACGCTGCTAGGGCGTTTCTTGAGGCGTTGCAGAGAGATTATGACCCGCGGAGACAGCAGGAGGCTGATGCTGGTGGTGGGGGATTTGGATTGGGTCCCGGTGGTGGGTATGGGGAGGTGGGTGAGGATGACTTTGGGCCGATCGAGGAGATTCGGTTTGAGGATTTGTTTGGAGATTTGTTTGGAGGCGGAGGAGGGGGTATGAGCGGCAATGTAGGAGGCGGTACTGGTGCGTTCGGTCCTCGTCCCGGCCCTGGATCCGGCCAAGGCCGCAGCGATCCTGGCCCCGGTTCCCGTCACGATCACGAGGAAGATGGTGGCGGCCGCGGCCCCGAACCGGCTCCCGGATCTGGCAGAAACGGCGGTGCCTCTCAGCCGGGCTACGAACCGCCGCCAGCTCACTATGGCGGTGGGTGGTACGGTTACGGTCCCGGGACCGGGAGATCGGCGAGTGGTCGACGGGGAGGCGCTGGGATGACCTTTGCTGATTTCTTCGGGCTCTATCAAAGCTGGCCTGGTCCAGGTGGTACGTTTGGGCTTGACGACTTTGGAGAGATGCCTGAAGCTTATCTTTGATCCTCAGGCTTTCTGGGCTGTTAGTTGGAGTTGAGAGATCGCGATTTAGGGGTAACTTGAGAGTCAAGTACCAAGTAAGATACACAAGTAACTAGGCTAGGCGTTCAATGTTCCTAGAAGTACAAAGATGCGAACTAAGCATGTTTCGGTGTGGTGCCTCGTCCGAGAAATGTCTGTGGCCAAGGTCTTCCTCTTCAACTGAACACACTCTTTCTGTCATCGATAGGCCAGCAGCAGATACCCTCGCCGTATCATGGCTTGAGTTCGTTGGTGATACAGGTGTGATAATGGTCAGGATACGACGTCGATCATCCCACTCGGGCCGTCATCATTGTTGTACAACGTGCACATAACTTTAGGTTGGTACCTACCTACACTACATGGGACGCATAGCTACCCGCTAATGGAGTTGAGGGCCAAATTGAATATTGAGAAGTTCGCAGTCTCTGGGTGGAAAGGGGCGCTGGTTCGACACAGCCCCCAAATCCTGTGCCTCCAACCCGGCGCAGCGGGGTGCAATCATGTCAGTTCCTTTCCAACATTGTGTCTTAAACATACCGTGCATAAGTACTATCCGCTTACGGCCGAAAAGATCAGCCCGTGGCAACATCCTGCTCCCAACTTGAGTGGGCAAAACATCTCGAGATTGGCCTCTTCCCGTAAGCCTCATTTGGTCATGCATACTAGGGAACTTATCTAGTCTTGACAAGGCTGACCACCTTGATCACACAGGCGTGGGGACGAGGCGTTTTTTTCCTCGATTCTGCAACTTGCGAGAGACTTAAGCACGCCTTATCATCAATCTTATCTTTCATGCTGCTTGAAATCGGGCACTTTTCGTCTGGAACTCATCCACTACCAGTACCTTAAACCACAACCACGCGCCATGTGTCCCCTCTCTAGTTCTCAAGACGCCCGAGGCTTGACTGCTAGCAAGACTTATGCAACTGAGAAGAATTGGAACCGTATGCAGCCTATCATTGCTAAGCTCTATCGAGACGAGAATAAGTCCCTAAGAAAAGTAAGGGAAATTATGGAAACCCAATATCATTTCAACGCCACGTAAGTCTGCTTCGAGCCATATCCGTAGCTCTCTGACTTTAACCTGTATTATAGAACTAAGATGTATAAGTCAAGGTTAAAGACTTGGAAACTAGACAAAAAGCTCAAAGAAGCCGAAGTAGTAGTAATGCTTCGACAAAAGCAAGACCGCGACGCCGCAGGGAAGTGCTCTCAGTTCTTTATCCGGGGCCAAGAAGTCAACTGGGACCGGGTAAGGCAGTATCTGAAGCACAGACCGGACTTACAAGATACATCCAGCATTGATGTCGTTCGATGTCTGGATACGCACATGGAAATCACGTGCTCTACACCTTCACCCACCTCATCAAAGACCGAGATACCCCCTCGAATAGAGCCACACTCAGACTTGCGCCTACTTGACGATTCCATCAGGATTATACATTCCTACCTTGATGGGGCATTCGAAACAGGTTTGGTCGTCATCGACGGGTGTATTCTCTACGGGCCAAACGGAAAGCCAGCGCGGCAGAGGGTTCGGAAGTGGCATGATGACATGGCCGACATCCACGCACTGCTGAGCAGAAAGGAAACGACTGCTGCGTTCCGGCTTCTTAACAAACAACTAGACTCTTTGAAGTATCTCATAAGGGAACAGGATCCTGAGCTACTGTTATTAACATTCCACGACATCTTCGACTTGGAACATAAACTTTCGGAGGCACTCCTTATATTTGTTTGCAGGATGCATCAAGCCATATTCGGCGAACGGCATCCCCTCAGCTTGATATGGGACAAACTCGTTAGCTTCACTGCAGAGGCCCGCTTACAGGCTGTACTGAGCATGGCCGCCTCCACCGCGAAGGAGATGGAGGCTCGAATGGGGGCCCAATCGGCATACGTGGAGGCTCTAGAGTGTCTGCAGGTGGATGTGCATAAGCAAAAGGGGCTGGCCTCCAAGGACACCTTCGTGAGTTGAGGAGTTTGACGCACCACCGGGGAGAGCCTCTCACGCGCTTGATCGGGGCCAGCAGTATACAATCAAGAGCAGTTGGGACTGGAGCCTCATCGAATAATTCAGCAAAAGTGCATTGGCTTCACAGTCTGGGTCAATGAAATGATGAGAATGTCAATAAAATTAGCAGAGTGGCGTCTCTCGACTAACAGATAAGCTTAGTTGATCATAGCAAAGGTCTTTTCTGAAGCTGTGACTTGTTGAGAGCTGCCAACGATAAGACTACACATGTGAAGAGAGCCTTTCCAACCCTACGCCTATCCCCAACGGAAACGACACCTCTGCGAAGCGAATGGAAGCCCAGAAAAGGGCAGGTTCTCAGGAGTTTGCGATTCATGTGAACCCAAGTCTTCGATCCTCATAAACGCCAGAAGCCCTATCCTCACTGTGAGACCTGGGATAGACTCGAGAACTATAGCACATGTCGCGTACTCAAGAGGTGAGAAGCATACTGCTGTGAGATTTCGGCCGAGGAAGGTATCTTCGTATCCGAAATCCGGAGTAAACTTCACCACAAACTCTCCTTTCCCATCAAGAGGTTTGCGTGTTGTCGGAAGATAAAACATGTCATCGTGCGCGGTGCCCGAACGCCGTTTGATCTCTCGATAGCAGAGGGGTCCGGCCTCGAAAGACCAGCATTCGAGGTGAAGATACCTCGTACACTGCAGGATTGACGAATCAAGGCCGCCAGATTCATAAAATTTAGCCCATTTTATGATATCGCCCTGAGGTGTTTCCACCCAAACCTCCGCGTCGAACTTGTCCGTTAGTTCCACTAACTTGGGGGGTCTCAGGTGAAAGTAGCCTTGATGGCCAAATAGCGTCTTCCCGTTCTGAGATACCCACGACCAGCTTGGGAAGGCTCCCAGCCTCGCATAGTTCTTTCCTTCAGGTCGGATCTCCCATTGGAGTCCGGCGAGAAAAGCGCGTTTCGAGGCAGTGGCGTCTACCACGGGCCAGCCGGAGGCGACTATCGGAATGCCCCAGTACGAAAAGCACCCTGGGTTCACTCGCGACCACTTCTTCAAAACTCCGGATACAGCGGCCAGCCTGTCGCTTGAGAATCTGAGCTGACGATCGCAGTACTTCTGGAATATCGCCCAGATACCGTCTGGAGTATTGAGAAGAGTCCATTCGGGCCTCTCATGGTGCTCCAAATTCCCTTGCAAGGCAAGAGGACGCGTGAGATGTTCGAAGCACATCATATCGTGGCACTCGAATGAGACCTCGTAGTTGGAGAAGTAGAGTCTTCTCCTGGAGAGACACGTCTCTTGAAACGTCCAACCCCGCGTCGACCACTTTGATCTCGAGATCTGATCAAGTTGCCACTGGTGGCTAAAGTTGGTGACGATCTTCTGCTGGCCAATCGTTTTGGTAATGGGACTGTGTTGTGTTCGCCCGAGAGACAAGCCCGGCAGCCCGTAGCTTGGGTCTTTGGCGCCGATGGCGATGATACTGAGTTCTGCGTCTTCGTAGATCTGGTCCATCTTCTCCACCTGGCTCATCTTATGAGTCTCATTGTCTTGCCAGATGCAGTATCTATCGATCCAGATATACCGGAAGCCAAGCTTGATGGTGGCCCTCAGGGCATCCTGGATGACCGGCGGAAGGTTGTCCGGCAGATCAGGGTATGTGTACTTGTCAGGCTTCGCATCTCCCCAAACGTAGCTTAACGCAACGTAGCGATACCTAGTACCTGGATCCGTGTTGATGATCCGACGGAACTCGCAGTCTATGAGCTTAAAGTGAGGGAGAGTCTGCCAGTCTGGGCTGGTACGACAAGTGTCGTGGTGATGCTCGCATAGGCGTATCCATGATCGGATGAGACCGTAGTCGATTTTTTCCTCAAGTAAGGTTCTGCCCTGCATCGGGAGGTCCAGAAGAGAATTAGGGGGCTCCAAGATGGCGGTGGACGCAAGAGAGACCAGGCTTCCCGGCGCCTCCCGATGGGCGAAACGGATCCACGCTGTCAAGCAACCGCCGGCGCTGGCATTGCCAAAGTACTGAGCTGACGCTGTCTTGTAGTGGGAGGGGTTCATTACAAGGAGGAATACTGAGGTAAAGTCTGGAAGTCCCTCGCTACCCGTCCCCTTATCTAGAGCAGCAAAATTGTAGAGCAGACTGGCGGGAATCGCTAATATGGTCTTGTCCTTCTCGGCCTTAGGGTAGCGGGCGAGATTGAAGCCGATGGAGAAGATGAAGTCACAGAAAGGACAGCTTGGAATAATGCCTGGGGGATATTGACTGATTCTCTCCTCCCGGGTGAGCGGTCTCCAGTCTCCAACATGTTGGATGTACTTGGTCCAGCTAGTTTTGTAACTCTGAACCGAGCCGATGGCTGGAAGACCGTCAAACCGAGCCGGGTTAAAGACTGCCTGCAGATCTAGCTTGGTGCAGTTGCGACAGAGCCGATCGTCTGAAAAGGACATGGTGAAGTCGTATGAGTGTCTGCTACTGGAGTCGAGGTGAAGAAGCGAGGTTGACGAGGCTCTGCAGTCCTGCCTTCGCAGCTGGGTACTAGGCGTAAGCGCCACTGTCGCTACGTTTTGCCCAATTATATCCAATTGATGCTGCAGCAGCGGCTGGACAGTAGCGTCGCGTAAGACATTGTATCCAGGGCCCGTGGATCAGCCAAAGACCCAACTGGGTTCACGCCAGGAACATGAATTTAAGCCAAACTCCTTACGTGATCTTGAGACTACGGGACAATATAGACGCTACCTCGTCCTGTTGGGATTGAAGTAAAGCGTATCCGTATTCAACAGATGGTCCCAACGGCCTGGCATGGGCTGTGTTCCCGCGGCAAATACCCAGTCGAGATCCAACCTCATATCCATATCGATGCCCTCTTGATCTTCCAGCTGCTCCTTTGGCTAAATGGGAGATATGCTCTGGAAACTACCGATGCTCTTCGACCCGGCCGGGCTATCAGTACGCGCTCGTTTCCGAGACGCCTGCTCGCTCTGCCGCATGGCGCCGAGTCCCAGGGGCAGCATGGGATTGCGCGAAGGACATTGACTCAGCCGGCGAGACCGCAGCTCCCACTTGCGTTGAAGCATGAGGAGAAAGTCCCGGGACCGCTTAGCGCACTCCCCTTCAAATGTAACTGCGGGCGGAAATTATCGCCTACCCATCCAGTATATTGCACGAAGAACCGCCGTACCTCGGCGCTATGGCCGATTACCGGGACCGTGGACGATCCGGGACCACTACCGCCCCCGATAGGCCTGGCCGAAGCCTATTGGTACGCCCTGGTCAGAGACCCGGGTGCCTTTGAGAAGTTCGAGCGTGTGACGCGCTACTATGAGGCTCACTCTCTGCAAAGATAGCGAGCCCGAGATCCCGCGCCTCACAACTCTCTCACACACCCACCGACGCCTTGAGGCCCCGGCCTTACCACACCCCTCTCTCTTCCTTCCTCCTTTATCTTCTATATAAGAAAATATAAGAAAACAGAAAAATGCTCGCGTAGGCAAATATGCCTCCGAGGGCCGGTTACTTGTTGCGGCAACGCCGTCTGTGGACGGCGTAGGGCTGCTAGAGACCCATTCGCTTCTGCCGAGTCAGGGACCCCCTGCTGGCGTGCTTTTTGGAACTGAACGGACCCTGGGGATTAGATACTAAACTCCACTGCTCTAGGCACGAGAAGAAAAGTGTACATTATAGACTGCCTGACTTGTCGTACGCTATAATGGCGGCACGGCACATCATATGCCCAAAGGGCGCTCTGGTTGATCGGAGCTTAGTTACATAGATAGCTGGGCACCTGTCCCTGATGATGTAAAACACCACTACTACTACTACTAATTAGCGCACTCCCAAGAGCCTGATAGCTCCCCCAGAGCTCGGAAGCATACGCTCAAGTGTATCGCAGTCTCTGTGGTCCTCTTCCGTCTGCGGCGGGATATCGATGCGAAGATGAGGATGATAGCCGCCGAGAAGATGATGGCAACGCCTTGGATTTGGACTCGCCTGAGGGAGTATTGACGTTCGTAAATCAGGATCAGCTTTGCTACCGCGGCTGCTGACTCAATGCACATGTGCTGCGCGTGCATGAAGCCTGGACCTTGAGGTGGCTGTGGCTGGATGTAGCTCGACGACATCCACGGCCTATGGGCATGTATTACGTTTTGGTAGTATTGCATGCTGCAGACGAAAATGTCAGAAACAGCCACACGACGACAGTACTCTACAACATGGGTCTGGACTTACTGTAATAAAAGAACATGAGGAAGGAATGATCCCTTTGAGTCTTCTAGGTCGACTTGTATCGTGCGTGGCAAGTTCTCCTTCCAAGCGAATAATATTGCAGCAATCTTCTCGTTGCTGGCCTGTAATATATCCCGCGGGATCCGAGAGCTGCCATATCTACCAGAACATCGATTAGTCTCACTGACCTAGACGGAAAGATTGATGTCCGGGCGGTTCACTCACAGCGTGTGGCCAAGAGGTGCCATGATTTCGCATAACTCTATCCTGTAAAGACTGACAGCCTCGACGTGGTCATTTAGGGGTACCGGTGAGCTGCCGCTGCTAAGGGGCGAGATGTAAGGCAACCATTGCTCGACCCGTCCATCCAACGAGTCTTCTGTCGGTTTCTCGACTGTAATATCGTCCATGCTGATACGGAAAGGTCGACCTCTGTAGAACCCGAGCGTCCTGGAAAGATTGGAAAGTCAGAACAGAGAGACCTCAACGACGTTAAAATGACACGAGAAGCTTACTGATCCATTGTGTATGCGCCCCAGAACACAGCTCGACGAAGCTCGGCTTCGGCAGGCTTTAGAATTCCGTTGGTAACGTATGGTGTCATGTCCTTGTGTAAAGCCAAATCAAACGCAAGCCGAATCGCCATTGCTGGATCGAGAGCAGTTAGTTCCTATCATCCCATATTGCAAGGGAGTCGCCATTGGGGTCACTCTACCACTATACAACCAACCACGAGAGTCCCTGTTTGCCCCTATCTCATGGCTACTAAGAACAATCATAGCTTGTACCGTAGAGACCGAAGGTGAATCTAGTTTGATCTCTAGAAGGGTCTTGGCTCGTGCGGCGAAGAAATCCGGAAGAGACTTTGGGAAGGTTATGAAGCTCGGGTGATATCGTGTTTCGAAAGTAGCGCCTAATGAACACCTACAAAGAGTTAGCAAGCAACTTGAAAGCTGAAATTTGTGCTGACGAACATTGCATTTCTGAGTGCCTCGGAGTAATATGGGGTATCCTCCTCTTGCTCGTGCCAACTATGCTTCGCTTCTTCATAAAGAGTCCGGTCGACTACATGCTGAAAGGGATCCTGCCAAGTAAAATATAGGTTGATAAGATGATCTTCGAGATCTTGCGGTACCGATTTGCCGTATCCCATGTTGTCGAGGTGTTCCTGGCCGTCGTTGCGAACAGTCCGATCTACAGCTAAACAATCGGCTCCCACAGGTAGTTCCATCAAACTGAAATTATATGTCGGCCCAAAATACGAGATACGGCCATTGGGGCCAATGTGAGGAGACCCTAGTCTATCGGACAACTGATTGACGAGGTCCTCTTCCGTCGTACCCGAACCGGCATCGTCGTCTTCATTGTCGCTCAAAGTAACCTCTTCGGAATAGCTGCGCAAAAGAGGATGGCTCGGGGCCCGGACGTTGGCTACGTCGACATCAGTTGTGATGATGTTGTCGGCACTCTCAGAAGGGCTCCATTCCCAATCGGCAATAGCTCTTGTCGTCAAGTTTAACAGCCCGTCCTGGACCGGCGGAGCATGCCCTGTGATACTAATTGCGTCATGGCCGAGATTGAAGGAAGACGGGTCGAAGGGCAGTGAAAAGTCTAGAGGAAGTTGGTCCGGCGGTAACAAAGTGTTGTTAGATGGGGCGCAGGGTGCCAATGGTTGCGGCTCCAGGGATAAAGCAGGGTCAATCGGTGGTGTTTTGTCGCGTTCTAGAGCCACTTGGACCGTCGAGAGTCCTAGAGTGTTTAGTATCCGGGTCAGACTTTTGGCCTCTTCTGAAGGCATTGGTGGAAGTTGAAGGCCATTCTGATTAATAAACTGGCAAAGCTGGTCGACTCTGCTCGACAGTAGTTCGACTGCAACGCGTAGGGAGAGTCTAGCATTTGTCAGCCCCGATCAGTCCGCTCGAATTCAAGAGACTGCAAAGAGAATCTAACTTGCGCTTGTCCTCTCCGGCCTGGTAACGGCAGTCTCGGCGCTTAGTTTTGCAGTTGGAACATGAAGGAGTTGCGCCGTCACACTGTAGATAATCTGTTAACGCAATGCCGCAGTGCACAACCTGAAGCGACGATCGTGATATCAAGTTGAAAGACAATATAATATCAACGAGGTTGGGGGAGACAGCGCGTACCTTGATCTTGCTTTCCCGACAGGAAATGCACGCCGTGGTGACATGCCTCCTCTTGGCGTCGGGCTTCGATGATTGGGGCATACTGCCTGTCTCCTCTGGAATCTGCGTCTCGAAATCTGTGTTGAAGGAGTGGAGGATGATGAGGTTTGGCTGGGGTATCTTCGAGAGAAGACGGGGCGGTGGACACCTCTTGGCCGCTCCGAGGCCCACTACTAGCAGGACGTTCTTTTACAGCATGAACCCCGATGTGCTAGCTACCTGGCCCATGTGGCTTTGTAAGTTGCTTCGGCCGTGTTCCTACCGGTAGCGCCGACCGCCGGGCGCGTGGGCGCCACGCCGAGATGTACAGGGGACTTGCCGGACGCTAATCTGACTATGCAGCACCAAATTTGCACTAAAGTTCATTCCAGATGTGGGAAACGCACACGGAGTGGTCGTGATGCGATTCGATGGTCTTTAACCAGGGATAGGGGAAGCTTGTTAGATGTATCTCCCTATTCGAGTAGTAACAAGTATGAGGAACATTCTGGAGGGGAAGACTATTCTTACCACGCAGTATATGTATCGTTGTCGATCTGCGCGGACACTCAAAGTCTCGGGACACCCAAACAACAGTGGATTAGAATATACTTAATTGGAAAAGCATCATGAGCAGGCGTTTGTAACAAAAGAGTGTAGGACATTGGTCCATGAATCAAGGATCTACAGCTTTAGAATTACACTTCGTGTATCCTAATCGACGGCCGAAACACGCAGTAATGCTAGCCACCTACTATTGAGGCGAGATCCAGTCAATCTAACTCGCATAACTCGGCATACAGAGTCGCCCATCATCATTCTAATGAATTGTAGGGATGGTGTAAAGACAGCTGGCCCGTGCTAAACCTTAATCTTATTCGAAGTATACGAAAGAACGCTGGTGCCCTTTCTCTAAACATGAAGTATTGACATTTCTGAAAGAGCCGGCCCGCGGGATTCCCCGCGTCACTTCAGCTTCCTCAAATCTGCAGCATGACAGTGATCTCGGTTTCTGAGACGTCTTTGCAGCGCAACTCTAGCCAGAAAGAAGCAAGAAATGGCGGATGTGATTTAGCGTCTCCTAGCGTTGATGTTTGGAAAAAGGAGCTGGGGACTTTACGTAGCGTCCTTGACTCACTTGTTTTCATCGAGGTAAGGTGTTCGTGATGTGTCCTTGATCTATGATACGGAACTTTCTTGAGACGGCATGATGAAGTAAATACCTTACCTTCAAAGCCCGATTGCCGTAGCTTAGTTGTAATTATTGAGCCTCTCAGTACGCGTACCGCACGTGCCCAAATTCAAACGCCATTCACGTTCAGGGAGCTCAAGCACGTACTTTGGTTCGCAAGGCCAATGAGCCACTCCGGAGAACGCCTTACTCGAAGAAGAAGTTACATCCAGACCAATGAAAGGCGTTTCTTTATCCCTACCTGAGATCTCGCTAACAATAAGCCATGGAACAGATCAGGCCTTAAAATTTGACTTCTCGGTACTGTGCCGAAATGATTCCAGACGAACTAAATGATCGAATCTGATAACCCAAACTCTGGCCCGAGGTGATATCGCGCTGTTCGTTAGAGTCAAGCCCCTTAGTCGGAAGCGTAGCAATATCCACATGATTCCGGATTCGACGAGAATTCGAGCGGCGACAGGTGTCTCTTCGAACCATTTACTTCATCATGTGCTCTTTGCCAAGACGTCGCCATTGGGTTGTGATGAGTAATGATGAGATGGAAGCTTAGTCGGAATTGTAGTCCGGGGAAGATCTGAAATCTGAGCCGCACTAAGATCTCATAGGACATTCGGAAACCGGTTTCCGAAGTCTCCACCAGCTCGGGCCCCAGAAGTCAGGTAGACCCAGAGACATTGTGATGCAACAAAGTCCAATTTCTACGTTTGTCGCCGAATATCAACTCATAACTCGAGATGTTCACCCAGGGTTTCAGCCTGAGGGGGATAGATCTTGTCAAGGTGAGCATCTCCGTATGGGGCCGGTTCTCGGCGGACCCATCCGGAGCTCAATCGGCCAATTCTGGCCGGCAGAGGGGTACCCGATTACTGTCTTGACCTCGTCAGACGATGCCCTTTTCGGACTTCTATCATTGTGCGAATCCTTGCGATGGAGAGGACCTCCAACCCGCGTTTCCGCATAGGCTATGGCTGAATCATCTCTACGGACTTCTAACAAAAGTAAAAGTCTCAAGTCTCTCCCGAATGTGGGGAGCGCCAGCCCACTACACGTTGCTCTCAACGCATAAATACCCCGCGCTTCTTGCTCCATGACCGACGGGATGTTCGGGATGTTATCAGTTAGTGTCACTAAGTATCTTGCACCACAGCAGTCTATTATCCCTATATGAACGACACAAACAAGTACGAAAAGATGGCTATCAAGAACGGACAAACGAACGACAGTCACTCTCCCAGCCCGACGTCCTCCCGCCTCTTCTCAAAATCGGAAGCGACAACATTGGAACGATTCTCAACCACATGTTCCCAACGAACCTATCCAGAAGACTACCCGCTTGCTGCATCGATCGAGCAGAACATCCCCGTCTACGACCTCCCCGAATACTCCAGCTTGAGCGACATACAACGCACGGAGCTCCAGGACGAGTGGTACCGCGTCCTAATCTCCGGCCCAGGCGTCTTCGTCACCAAGGGCCTCTTCCGCGACAAAGCTTTGATCCAGTCAGCAAACGCAGCTTTCGCATCAATCATTGAGGACGAGAAGAAATCAGGAACCGCAAAGGGAGACCACTTTGCCAGCGCTGGCAAAAACGACCGCATCTGGAACTCATTCAGCAAACATGGCCTCAAGGACCCGGCGTCCTTTGTCAACTACTACTCGAATCCGTACCTCGGCCTAATCTCGAGCGCGTGGCTCGGACAGGGCTACAGGATCACGGCGCAAGTCAACAATACCAAGCCCGGCGCCTCGCCACAGGTCTGCCACCGTGACTACCATGTTGGTTTTAAGACAGCAGAAGCGGCCTCGCAGATCCCACGGGCCATGCAGATCGCCAGCCAGCTCCTGACGCTGCAAGGTGCTGTCGCCCACTCCGAAGTGCCTCTAGAGAGCGGTCCCACGCGGCTGCTGCCGTTCAGCCAGACATTCGAGGCCGGCTATATGTCGTATCGCCGTCCCGAGTTTAGCGAATACTTTTTGAATAACTATGTCGCGCTGCCGCTGGAGGTGGGAGATGGGCTCTTCTTCAACCCGGCGCTCTTCCACGCGGCTGGCAAGAACGAGTCGACCGATGTGTACAGGATGGCAAATCTATTGCAGATCAGCAGCCCCTTTGGTAAACCGATGGAATCTGTGGACGCCGTGCCTCTGGTGGAGAAGAGCTGGGATCACTTGTTGAAGCTGTACGAAGCCGGAGGCTTGAGTGCCAGGGTCCAGTCTTTCATAGCGGCTGTGGCCGAGGGATATCCATTCCCTACGAACTTGGATAACAACCCGCCAAGAAACGAGGGCATGGCGCCAGAATCGGAGCAGGACAATATCACAAAGAGTTTGGTCGAAAAGCGAAGCAGAACCGAAGCGGTCGAAGCGCTAAAGGCATTTGTAAAGAGATCATCAGCATAAGCATACATGCACATATCACCTGTAGAACAAACATACACTTACTCTTGGCGATTCTCTGATGAAAGTAGACAAGGAGGTCCGAAAAGATTCGACTGAAGTTGATGTGGTCTAACGCAGAAGTCGAAGGCGTCAATTCCGAAGACTACCTAGTAAGTAGATCCACTGTCCATCAATCGGATCAAATATGACCTAGCCCTCTTGCCCTACGTATCTTGAGATCACTAACAGGGTTCTTAGGTACTCAACTTTAGCGACTATTGCGTCTGTGTGGATCGACAAACCCGTGCCTGCATCTACAAAGGATCGAGATTGATGACGCACGTCAGCGTAAGCGCATGCGCCCTGCTTGAAGACGAAAACACATGAGGCAATGGAGATCGGTAAGCGCCGGTGGATGCCGGCGCCGCAGTTCGTCAGCCTCGAAACGTGTATTTACAATAGACACGGTTGTTTGTCGTGCTCCCCACGTCTGCATCGTAAGTGGATCGTTGCCGCGTTGCCGAAGACAACCTGTGATAGCTATCGTTTAGTTCACGCCATTTGCCTGCCTACTTAAGCTTCGCTTTAAATAGCTTTCGAACGTGACGTTGCGTCTTGTTGCTTGCTTCTTGGTCTGCTGCAACTTTCGTGTTCCGGCGTTGTCCACGTAGGCTTTGGCCCACGCACCATGTGTCTTTCGTCAAACGGGATTCTGTGGGATTCAAAATACCATCGTCAATTGGGCCACACCGAACACGGATCAACCAGTCGGAACCGGGCCCTGAACAGCCATCGGTTCCATTCCCCAGCTGTCGTCGGGCAACTAGCGTCGACGGACACGGGGGATAACAACGTTGAGAGTGACATCACATGTGAGACCTCCATTCCTTCTACTGCCGATACGAGGTTTTGCGCACGGGAACGTTGGGGGGCCACACAGGCGCACACAGACCGCTAAAATGCTTCTTACGGGATCTGCACCGCTGAGTGGTGATCTTCCATGCCCACGTCTCTTGTGGCGTGCCAATGTCACGATATTTGACAGCTTTTCAACGTTCCCAGGGAGAGGGTTTCTTGTATTTATTGAGACATGAGTCCCCACCTCTTGCAGGGTCTGAATCAGTTCCTCACCGCGCAAACGATTCACCCAAGCACAATTATCATAGAAATACCATCATCTTCCCGCAAGCATCTCCGAATCCTGTCACACATTCCACAAGTTTGCGTGTCCCATCAAAGAGACAAACCCTTACGGACTTTAAGCCATATTTCTCGTCATAAAGAGAGAAGCGATCAATCTTTCCTCGACCCGCACTTATCAAAGTCTCAAGCACGCCAGAATGTATGTCAGCAACTTCATCACCGCTTTCTCCGCCCTCATCGCCGGCGCCTCCGCCGCGACCCTTCCCATCCGGTGGGCCGGCGTCTCGAATACCGCTGCGATCGCCGAGCGTCGACAGACCGACGGCAGCGCCACTTATCCGGCAGCACCAGGAAACGTCTCCTGGAACGCACAAAACTACATCTGGGGCTGCTCACCAGGTGGCTGCAGTGCCCGCTTCAATGTGAGCGCCCCCGCGGGCTACAGCCCCGGGGCGCCCAGCTTCAACGTCGTCTGTAGCCCCATCTACATCCAGCAGGGTTGGGTCCCTTGCCTGAACCCAGACAATAGTCCCCTCGGCGAGGATTCACAGGTTTTTACGATCTGGACGGCCGGGGCGGACCGCGAGCGCATGTATCTTGGTGTCGAACACATTTACAAGCGCCAGGAAGACGGGTTTACCTGGAACGCCACTGCTGGGACCGACATCCTTCCTGTGCAGAACATGAGCATCACGTTCCCTGTCAACACCGTCGTGGTTCTTGAGTCCTAAGTAGTTGCGATTCCGCAACGGCGATCATTGCGTTCCTCATCTTGCACAAGGCATGCATTCAGCAAGGCGTTTGGTTTATGGACAATTCATTCATGTAATTACTTGATGTACACATCTTAATGCTTAATTCGTTGTCTAAGCACAGATTTCCCGTTCGTCTCGCAGAAAAGGGGCCCTAGACCATCCTTTCCCAATGGGGCACCTACCACGGTTTCTCATTAATCGAAGCGAGAGGAGTCTGGCACTTGGCCGCCAGTGCAGCCTTTGCCTCATCGCTGTCGATGCTCACACACGGGGTGTCAATACCGCCATCGACGCCATCGCAAATGATGACAGGTTCCCCACCACAAGGCGATGTGACGTTGAAGTTCTTGAACTTGATGTTGTGGCAGACGGCATCGGGGTTCGTAGAGCATGTTAGCTTCGCAACGGCGTTACCGTAGATGCCGCTGGTGTAACCAGTGAAGTTCTCAAAGAGGACGTTGGAGACGTTCATGCCAGACGGGTATTGCTCGCAGGTAGTCTCGTTGATCTGCCTCGATTCTGTCAGCTGGACTGAAGTCCTTCGCATACCATTGCGTTAAGGTGCAGGGAGAGCTCACGTTAAAGTAGCATGAATCAAGAATGATTCCGTAGTCCATCCGAGCAACCCAGAAGTTCCTTCCATTCATGTTAGGGACTTGGCCATGAACATCACGACGGACAAGTACTCACTTGTAGGTGACGTTGTCGACGAAACCGTATCCCACGTTAGGGCCAGCCCAGGTCTTGATGCGAGCACCCGAGTACTAATATCTAGTCAGAAGACGGCCGATCAGAATGGTCGGACTCAACCCACATCTCCGTTCAACATCCACACGTTCTCGATGTGAACGTCCTTGACGTACGACATCTCCCCGGCGTACTGTCCTAAGGAACCAATTGACTGTGCCAAGTTAGCATGATAAAGACACAAGTAAGGCTCTCCAATCCGTTTACCTGGCCATGGGTACCTGTCATGACGTTAGCCTGATGTTTACGTACAACCAAGGGTCACAAAACGTACCGTTGCAGTACATGGTGTTGACATAAAGGTTGGTGTTGTTGGACTTCGGGGAGAAGCAGTCATCGTCGATGTTGACCCAAACGCGCTCAATCTTGACGTCTTGAACATCCAAAGAATCGAAGAAGTCGGTGTTCTTGGGGATGATGCTGCCGTTATTGGTGATGGCAGTGGCGATGACATCTCTGTACTCAATGTTGCTCGCTGGTCCAAAGATCATTAGCCCAGGTCCCATATCCTGGGGAATTGGAGCAGCAGCCGCCGGAACTCTGACTTACATCCGACGACGAAGTTGGTCCAGCAGGGAGAGTCCTTCATGTGGATGCCCTCAACCTCGAGATTCGTGGTGTTCTCCACATAGAAAAGAATCGGCCGCAGATATTTGTTGTCAGGGTTCTTAACCGTTAGCTGCTTGTAGTACATGAAAATAGGCCACTGTGGGTTCATACCAGAATCCTGGAGGCGGTTAGCTTGGTGCTCTGATCTAGGTAGGGTAAGGAGTGAGTACTGACGATCCAATGCCTGAGTTGAACTCATTCCACCAGCGTTGGCTACGCAAGATGTTAGACATGGGTCAAAATCAAGACTATCTTGGTCTACGAACCCTTGTCCGTTGATGACTCCATCACCGTAGATCTTGATGTCCTTACCACCCCATTTCCCTATTCAAGACTATGAGCAAGGCGTCCAAGGATGTGAATTACCAGGACCGTCTTACAGAACATGATTGATTTCTGTCATGTTGCATCAGCAGGGGTTCACGACTGCATGAGACCGGATCAGAGACTTACTTGGAAGGGGTGCGTGAACGCATTTGTCTAGAGTCAAGCGTCAGTAACGCTGTGTTTCTCCAGTCTCTGCGGATGCATTATGTCAGTAACTTACTTGCCAGTATTTCACATCATCGGTAAACTGGGCCACTTTGTCAGATCAACTTCGACAACGTCTACGTGGCTAGATCTTACCTTGATTTCGCCCTCTAGACGGACATGGATGTCATTGAGGAACGTCAAGTCAAGAGCTTTCGCAATAACAAACGTTTGGTTCTTGGGAAGGTACAACGTCCCACCATTGTTAGCTTCATGAAGACCCTTCTTCAACTCTTCGGACACGTCGTCCGTGGCGTTCCGGGACGCGTGGATCGTGAAAGTCCTGCGTCCACACCCTTGGGATGGGGGCGTGTAGGGATGCTTGTCACGGAACTCTTCCAGAGATCTGGGTACGCCGGCCGGCAGTTCGATGCCGTAGGAGGAAACCACGCCGGCTACAGCTCCCAGCAGGGCAAGTGACCTGGAGAAACGCATGATGGAGAGAAGGAGAAAACGTCAGAGGATGGATGCGATGCAACGATGCTGATCCGATCTCGCCTTCATGTGAGATGCTCCGAAGACAGCAACGTGAATTGGAGGGCAGCCTTCCCCATCTTTAATGCTTTCAAGCGATCCGTAAGCTCGCTCTTGGGGGATGCAGTTCAAGTGGGGACGACGAAGGTATTCCCACTTCTCTTCTCTTCTCTTCGGGCGAGCATCACATCGGACGGAATGACGGAGTACTCCCCCTAGAGACGGAAAAGTCAATTAGACTCATTGGACATGACAGGGCTTAGAATACCAGGCACGGCAACTTTAATCGTAGTTGAACTCGGAAATAAGATTGCCTAGGGGACGAGAACCCCCGCGCACGCATCGGAAAAGAGTCCAAAAGGAAGCCCGGCTTTCGAGCGCACATCACAAAAGTATTAACCGCGAAGCGGTCTGGCGTTCAAGATGGTGGAAGATCGCGTGGGGAAGCGTTGGGGTTGAGTCTTGGAATCTTGGGGGATGTGCGGGGGAGACCCTAGGGGATGTTGTAGTGCAGGGCTCGGCAGAGGCCTATTGGTGGGAAATTCCTTGGCCTAGTCCAGCGACGTCGGAAAAAGACACCGCACCGTTGGTAACTGATGAGTCTGATCGATCTTGTGAAGCCAACGGCCGTGGACTTTGAGTCGGCCGGAGATCCGCCTCGCTGGTACCGAGGTGAGCGGATGGGGAGGAGGCGGGGTTGCTACGGAGGTAAGAATGACGCTGACGCTTGCTCGGGCTTGGTCCACATGCATTCGGGAAGGGCACTGTCAGAGCATGATTAAGACTAGATCACGACAATCTGGAAAGTACGAAGGTACGACATGGCTGAAATAGTTCAGAGCTATGCGTGACAAACAATACATGGGAGTAGAGCTTCCTTGTATCATAGCGATGGGAGCGGGAGTGTTATGAGGAGGTTACGATTTTACTTTATTTAACAGCAATACCTTGCTACATTCATGTAGCAGAGCGTGTTGCTCGTGGCTAGTTGAATTCGTCGAGGACAAATTTGCCATCGGAAGTTCTGTTTCAAGAACGTACAGCATCGCGAAAGCTACACCCTTGCTGCGTGCGAATTTTCATATGCCTCAAAAACACCTGTGGCCGGCCTGGGGCAAAGTCTACTTCTAGTAGGACGGCCCCAAGAGCGCTGCAAATGTGACCGCCATCTTGGGTCGTTATCCGTAGCCCCTTCTCCAAGATCTCTCCAGCTTTTCAAGATCACCATGCGAGCCTTGGATGATGGATTGGTCCAAAATTCGAACGAGTAGTCCATCCAGCACCGCTTACAACTGAAGATCTTCCCGTTGTTTTCGACAATAACTTTTGGGGGCTTCTGCCCATACTCCCAGATACTGCCTTCATCGGGGTGCTTTTTGTTGGACTCAGTGGAAACTTCGAGTTCTCTGGCAGTGTTCAAAACCACTTCCAAAGCACCGGCTGTCCAGGTACGGTGACTATGAGGGCAACACCCGCTGAGGTACCAGAACCTGTCGTCCTTTCCTAGGAACATTCCTTTGTGTTTGACCCGGCGTATGCCACTTTCTAGCTGAACGAAGTCCCGAGTCTTGAGGAACAGGCAACCATCGATAGTTCGTCGTTCAGTCAATCGCTGTATCCAAAAATTCGGAGTTCTATAGAACTCCCTAGAGACAGGTACAGCTTTTGCAATGGACTCTGACGACCGTAGGCGTTGGGACCTCAGAATCCCGGCAACCATGTTAAATCTCATATTCCATGGCAGGAAATTTGACCACATCTTGGCACCAATGTAGAGGTGATCTTCGGGGAGGGAAACTTTGGGTGCAGCGCATGGTCGTAGGTTGTACGATTGAGATTCAACGACATGGTGTTGATGTCCTGGCCTGGGCGGGACGGATGAAGAGGGCGAGTGGAATATTCCGCAGTCTTTGCATGCGATATAGAGAGGTTTCGCATACATGCCGTCGCATTCGAGTAATTGTAATAGGTGACATTGGGCCTCCTTGCTTAGAGTCATGGGCAGATGCCCGATTTTGTTCCGAACCATATGATTGAGGAGTGGGAATATCGCCTGGGATTCAAGTGGAAGAAGCGCCTGAATTTGCAGCAGAATTTCAGCGGGTAAGGTGTCTAAAAAGCCCATTGCTCGAATTCGGCAAGCTATGCGGGTACTTGTAGAAAGATGGGATTAAGGGTGAGAGATTGAAGATCAAGCGTATCGACGATGTTGGCAACACAGCATACCTGTATTCTTTTCTGAGGTGGAATTGATTGAGGTTATATCAAGATGTCGTTGGGTGCCTAGACATTTGTTGGGCGTTGAGCTATGGTCTATGACAAGTCGTCCAAATGGGTCTGACACTTTGAGTCATCCTCGCCACTCTCAAATTTCGGTGGTCATTCACCACATCATTAAGTAGGCTTAGCAGTATAACTAGAACCTCAATCCTAAAAAAATCGATCAACGGTTGGAAAAAGTGTCGCGTCACTTCCCACTTACGTATGTGTATGTATGTTGACTACTGACTTCTCAGTCATCGTCGGCATCGGCGGCGTGGCGCTTACTAGGGTGTTGCGTGTTACCAAAACTGTTGGTTTACCAACGACTTGCGGTAAGCTTTGCCTTGCCGCTGACGCAACCACTGCACCGAGAATTAGCGTGGTTTTGTTTGCAAAGTAAATAACGCCTTTTCATTCCAGGTAATCATCATATCTATCTTCTTTTGGCCGACTGACTCTTTCTCGTCGCCGCGGCCTGAGTCCCTTTTCTTAGTTCCGTACCTATATGGACAGTCCTTGGTTCAAATCAAATACTTCTTCGCATAAGATGGTTTTGATACTTCCCATCTGGAGGCATAACGAGTTCAAATCAAGCCAAAAGTTTCAGGAGAGTGACCGAGTTATTGAACTTAAGGGAGTAGTGTGGAAGCACATCAGAGCCCAGAATGACGCATCTTCCTCGTTTTAATCGCACGCAACTTACAACATTGCACTCACAACTTACACCAGCTAAATCACAAAAGCGTTTGAACTAAGAACGGGTATAGAATCATCAGAATACGTAGAGTCATAAATGGTTGAAACACTATGCATGATCCGAAAAGTAGTGGCCGCTTTGGAATAATAACTGGACTCGGGAGAAAATTGTTGTTCTCAACTCGATTAAGTGCGAAGCCATCGTACTGTCTATGCATCCCTCACCCGCTCTGTCCTTTCCCCTCTTAAAGATTATTGATCGATGACATTATTATTCAGTCCCAGTGACCGATTAGGTCAGCGGACACAAGAGGAAGAAGAATCCGAAAGTACTTCACCCTTGTGTTCGAAGCTTAATGACTTCAAGTTTGACTGAGGAGGATATGAAAATGATCTTGCAGTTTTATGACCGAAGCCATAGAAAGGTCAGCAAGCCTTAAGAAATTATGAAGGGAGTCTGTTGAAAAACGCCTATGCAAGCACATCACGAATTGCTCGGATACTTGGATCTCCTCCAGTACCACTATGCCCTGCAGGGCCACATGCTTCCTTGGTGTGGCATGGGGCAAGGTCCCCATCTTCGGGCGCTGTGGCCCATACATTCACAAGGGCTTTTACGGCGGCTCATGAAATGTTTTCCCCGTACATTTAGCCCATTCTAGGTCTAGAAGGGCCTTATTGCAACGTTGGTACAGGGATAGATGAGGTGCCATCCCACCGGCTTCAAGCTTATTCTACTTTAACTACCTACGTATGAATGAACCTGCCATTATCGTACAATAAGCTCAGCAGACCCTCAAAGAGACGCCATGTCCAAAGTATCCGAGCTTGATCTGGAACAGACAAAGGATCTGATCTTAGTAAATACAAATGAACAACATCACTTTTTGGCGTCAACTTAAAGTCAATGTCCGAGAAACCCCAGTGAACTAACAGCGAGTCAAGAACTGCCGGGTAGTGGGTTCCACCCCTGGTCGCAGTGTGCATACTAAGACCACGTACGCTGAAGAATTCACATTGATTTCCCTTCACTTTGCCGCAGGTAAATCATTCTAAGAGCTTGCTATGGTCTTCTAAGTCTTGGACCTTCCGGGTATGTAAAAGAAAAGAAGCGTCAAGAACGAATCGGCAACATCGACGTCTCGGTTCTTCAAGTCTCTTCTACAAGCACTGTCATCTGCGCCTTGTTGGTTTTGTCCTGCGACGTTATGAATGAGTGCCGCTGCTGTGTTACTGTCAGACGGCCATCGCTTAGTGTTGACCGCTGTCATACCTTGCCCTGCAACTCCACCACTCCGCATATAGTGATTTCGGAGCATTATCTCAACGTTGAACATGCTTGCCTTTCTTGGCAGCAAAGATTTAGATGTCCGTAGCTATGTGAAAGACGAGGAACTGCGGCCGTTGGTTGATCATCAACGTCTCGAGTCCTAACGCTGTGGTCTTCACATCATATCCATACCCACCCAAGGTCGCCAAGATTTTGAAGTATCAATACAAGCACCGTGGAGCAACTAGCAGCAACTAATACCACCATAACCTACGCAGGTATCGGTGCGGGGCTCTTGGCTGTCTCGACCTTATTCCTTCCTGGTGTCTGCTTCGCGGCAACCGACAGGATTTCCAACTCAGGAACGATCTGGTCCGCTGCAACATCACGCACCGGTATTCCACCTGTATGCTACCCACTTGAAATGAGACATTTTCCTGTGTAACCGCTGACAAAGTTATATGAAAGTGTGATGCTCTCATCGCCGCAGGTCTGGCAGATCGCCTGGTTCTCGCAACAGAAGCAGGCTATGAGGCACGTATCTCGACATACTGGTCTGTCAGTGCTCGTCTGCGGCCATGGTGTCTCATTCAGCCTTGGGACACCAGCGAGGTATCAAAGACTCTGACTACACTGTTAGAGGCTGGATCGGGTGCCGGTGACTGGCACATTGCTATCCGTGGAGGAGGTCACAACCATTGGGCAGGCACTAATAATATTGCCAACGGAGTAACAATCGACCTTGTCTACCTCAATCAGACCTCGTACGACCCGGAGACCAACCTTGCCTCCGTTGGCCCCGGAGATCACTGGAAGGATGTGTATGCCAAACTTCTCAAGAGCAATATTACCGTGACCGGTGGCCGCGATGGAGGCGCAGGTGCCGGCGGCTTTCTCCTGGAAGGCGGTAACTCGTACTACACCGGTCGCATGGGCTTTGGGGCAGACTCTGTGAGAAACTACGAGGTCGTCCTTGCCGATGGTAGCGTCGTCAATGCCAACAAAGAAACCAACCCTGACCTCTTCAAAGCTCTCAAGGGTGGCAGCAGCAACTTTGGGATCATGACACGTTTCGACCTCGAGGCGTTGCCGGCCAAAGACGTCTAGACGGGCATCCACATGATGACCAAGGATAACTCTGATGCCGTCGTCAGTGCTGTTGTTGAGTTCACCAACCACGACCAGAGCTTGGCCGACGACGCAATGGTCACTGTCTATACCCACAATACTGCATTGGGCGACGATATACTCATTGCCGCTTCTCGCGTCAACACACAGGGCACTCGAATACGACGTCTTTCGCAAAAATGAACCAGATTCCTGCCATCAGTAGTGAGATGACTTATCGGAGCATGGCTGACCTGGTGCTGAACTCCCAGATTCCTGCCGGCTCTAGGTTCGTTGATTCTGTTTTACCCTCTGAAAGCAGCGCCTGAACTAATCTTACGACTCAGGTCTGTGTGGTTTACGTTGACATTCAAAAATGACGAAGCAATTCTGAAAGAGGCTGTCGAGGCCCACCAGGAGTTCGTCGACGCTATGAAGCTTGCCGTCGGGGCGGATGAGTTCACCACCCAGATGGTCTTCCAACCTCTACCTACCTACTTCGCAGCCATTGGTACTGAGAACGGTGGCAATGTTCTCGGTCTTGACGCAGAGAAGGACAACGCGATCCTCTGGCTTGGTCTCGTTACCATTAATACCGAAGCTCAGGAAGCTGTTGCTCGAGCATACATGGCCTCTGCCTCAGCCGAAATCGAAGACTTTGCTATTTCTGTCGATGGAAACGTCAACTGGCGCTACCTGAACTACGCTGACCCAAGCCAAGATCCGATCAAGACGTATGGCTCTGCCAACGTGGACTTTATCCGCGAGATCGCGGCCAAATTTGACCCGGAAGGAGTGTTCCAGAAGCGGATTCCTGGCGGCTTCAAGGTCTCACGCGTGGATTGATGTTGGACGGTCCACATGGTTCTGCTGGAAGTTCTCATCGTGTCAAAAATCTGGTGACGGTGGAAATTAACTACATCAGAATCGTCGATAGTTCGCTGTCAAGTAACCAAACCATTAACAAATGGTCTCTTTCGGAAATGACTAACGATAAAAGTGCCAGGTACGGAGAAGAAGAGGTTCCATCCCCGTTAGTGCATGTGACTAAAAGCCCCAAACCCTTTCCTTGCTTCGAGCTCCAAGTCCAACATAACTAAATATGCTTGGGTTAAGATGCGGCGAAACTTTCTAAGTAAGGAAACCATTACCGCCCCGGCCGCTTGTTCTCAAATCCCGATGCCCACCCGGCGAGCGGCGTGGAAGCTGGTGCCAAGTCCCGCCCCTCGTATCCACATCGCACCCACGCCGGGACTGGGGTTCCTGCAATTGGATGTAATCAGCCTCTTGTAATTGGTTGACTCTGACAAACAACATCCCTCAAAATGCGTCAGAGAGTACCTACATGTCCAAAAGCCGTTGCTCATGCAGAGCTTGTGCACCTTTCACGCGTTTTCAGATAAGAGTCATCCGCACCGAAGCTATCTAACCTATCTTCCGCGGAGATGTTAAGTTGGTTGTTGAGCCACCAGGGTTGACCGGAAACTGGCTCCTCAACAGTGAACGATGAGCTATGACGGAGACAACCTAGATCGCCTTTGTTACACAAAGTCCGCTAGCTAAGGTCATCAGGTTATAAGTAAACAAGGTGACCGAAGCTTCTGACCCTTGGCGCAGTCTAAACAGTAAACACAACAACTCACAAATAATTACAGATGCTGTTGTGATATTGTCATTGCCAGTGTTTGCGGAGGCGACAATTTCCGCACCTGGCATCAGGTTAGAAACCATAATTAGTGGATCGCATGCACGCCCTTTCGGACACATGTCACATTACGTTTCGACAGGAACTAGAGGAATTACACGGAAGCGCCCGGCACTAAAAAGCCGTTAGACCGATATAAACCGCTGTCATCAGAGACCAACCACAACACTATCGAAATCAAAATTCTCACATCGACATCAACGACCACCGAAACAATTGCATCGGACTTTTGTTCGCCTATCTCATTCTTCGACAACATGCAACTTCGGAAAGATCACGTAGAGAACAGCATCCCGGTGCTTCGTCAACTCATCAAGGACTACCCACTTGGTGTCCTGACCACAGCCATCCCGTCTGCCGATCACCCATTAATCCAGTCCAGCCACATCCCCTGGGTATTGGACGTCCAAGATGACTCCAGTGAAACCGAGCTCGGCGTCCTGAGAGGCCACGTCGCGCGCGCGAATCCCCAGTGCAAGGCGATGCTCGATTCGCTATCAGCAGAAAACCGAACCGGGACCGGAAACGTTCTCGATCAGGAAGTGCTGGTCCTCTTCACCGCGCCCGCCCACTCCTACGTCACGCCAAAGTTCTACGTTGAGACTAAGCCAACAACGTCCAAGGTCGTGCCGACCTGGAATTACGCCGCGGTCCAGGCGTACGGCCGCGCCAAGATCTTTTATGAGTCCAAGACTGAGGAGACGTCGGAGTTCCTGAACAAGCAGCTTCACGATCTCTCACAGCTTGGAGAGCAGTCGATGATGGGATACACTGGTCAAGGCGGCCGTCCCGAGCCATGGACAGTCTCGGAAGCCCCGCAACGATACGTCGATCTGTCCAAAATGGCCATCATCGGCATCGAGATCACCATCGACAGGCTGCAGGGCAAATTCAAGATGAGCCAGGAGATGAGCGAGGGTGATCGCCAAGGGGTTATCGCTGGATTCAAAGCGTTGGACTCCCACTTGGGCAACACCATTTCTGAGATGGTAAAGGAGCGCGGCGAGTTGAAGCAGAAGTCTAAACAATAAAAACCACGCAAGATTATGGAACAAGACAGGACCTTTGTTGCATTCTTTCCACTAGGCGATCACAGAGTGCATTTTTTATCCAGGATTACCTAACCACGCTGGTGATATTAGATACTGCCTCGCTAAGACGTTTGGTAACTTGATAGTTGCGGAAGTTCCAAGCTGAAGAGCATCGAGCCGCGAACTTGAGAGCACATGGACTTCCCGCATATGGAGCAGGCCCGGCGTAACTCAGATTTGAAACCTATGAACTAGTGCCTATTTTGGGCATCTTCCTCGCGTATTTGGCGTAAGCCTGGGGTCCAATGATGGGTCGCAAGGGCTTATGGGCCTGGAGCCGAGGTCTGGTCTTTAAACAAGCAATGCAAGGGAATGAATTACATGACGGACCATGTGGAGGCGAATTGGTTGGCTTGAACAATATTATCACGTATAAGACGGGTATGAAACCAGTACGAGTCATATATAGGCACATATAAAGGGCTCCTTCAAGGGCCCCTTTTCTTCCCTTTCCATAGATCGATTAGACCACAGTTAAGATCCCGATTTCCATAAGCTACTCTGTATACTAATTCGTGACAAATATCGACACCGGACCGGCACGCAGCGAAGACCCTCGAGGCATGCCAAGCTCGAAGCAGGTGAGTCACGACATGGGAAGGGCCAGTCTGAAGTTGCACGTAACTCAGACTCAACATAGCATTCATTGTTTTTCTCCTACACCGATGATGTGTTTCTGTTGGTGTGGAGGCAATACTACTGTATTGGATCTGATGATGATGATGATAGGAAAAGCTGAGCGCTGGCTGGGCTGGATATCTGGGCAAGGTGTAGGTGGGGCAGCTCCGAGATGTGAAGGAGCTGCCTCACGTGACCCACCTGCACCTGCCACAGTTGGTATCACAGGCGTGATACATTTCCTCATGAGGGTGTATCTTCGGCAACAATCACGTCGATGTCCGTGATAATTGCTGTTGTTGTTCTTGTTCTTCCTATTTACATTGTGGGCAGGGGTCGGTCGAAGTAGGTGGTGACGGCCTGGGTGGTTGCCCCACCTTAACCGGCCGTGGTGACTAAGCCGGTTGTCCCACTTCGCCCAGGGCAGGCGCCAGCCAGCCCACGATACCTGCCCATTGCTCCTTATCAGCCTTGCCGTTCCGACAGTATGTTTACCGTACGGATTCCGTATTCTGAATATACGGGGTCCGTACCTCAAAGGTGATGATGATGATGATGATGTATTTAACGTCTGGTAACAAAAGGACGTGCCGGGCGCTATGCCGACATGGTCTATGCTAATCTAAACTATGTTACAGGCTACCGTCTTCACCTAACGTTCCTGTTCAATGACTCGGGCAAATTTCGGAAAAGAAATTGGTCTCCTCTATCCATTCGCATAGAAGAGAGGCTCCCTTAGTAGAACCTAATAAGAAATTAATGCTTGCTTTAGCCATACGTTGGCGGAGGTAGCGCGGTGTAGCCTTGCGTCCACGCTTGTAGAAGTAGAAATGGACTGGTGTCTTGGGTTTCCCACAGCTGTAGTTGAGCAACGCATCTTGATGAGCGAATCTCTCGTAGTATGCTGCAAAGTCTCCATGATGGGATCTTGCTGCGTATAGCCTTCCTAATAAGTGCCGAGGGAGGCGGAGTTCGGGCGGCTTGGGGTGAAGAATTATCTCGAGGTCGGCATATTGCCGAGGGCATTGGGACAGCCATTTTCTTGCAAAGGCTTGGAAGGCAGCTGCTTTAGCTTGCCTTTCTAGGTGCGCTAATGAGGGCTGTGGTTGTGATTTTGGGATTAGTTTGCAGGCTTCCTTGGCTAGAGCATCCGCTTCTTCATTTCCTGGTACTCCCGTGTGCCCAGGGCACCACCAAACATAAACCCTGCCGGGGGTTGTCCAGCTCTCTCTTTGTCTCCGAGTCCAGGAGGAAGAGAGCCTATTGAAGGCCCTAAATCTAGCCTGGCTGCTTCCTGTGCTCTGGGAGTATAGTTTAGCCGCGACTGCGAGGTTGTCGAGGCAGATGTGGACGTTATCTGCCATACGAGCCGTAGGAGCCCGGGTGGCTTCCATCAGGCCGTGATACCCAGCATGTGCCTCCGCGTTATACACCTCAGTTTGGGACCCGAGTGGTTCGGATCCGCGGAAGATCTGCCGTGTAGCTTGGTACCCTACCCAGCCTGCTCCGGCGGAGGTGCTGCTGCCGTCCGACATCTGGGACCCGTCAGTGTAGACAATAATGTCCCGCTTGGAGAAAGTTGCCATCCTGCCTGCAAAGGAGAGGGCCTGTTCTTCTTTGGTTTTATTAGGTTCGTAGCCGACCCTGGCGAGGGCTGTCTGCCAGTCCGCTAGTTGCTCCCAAGGGGGGAGTTCTAACGGATCGATGTATTCGGTATTTTTACTTACGAGGCTTGCCATTCGTCGTAGCCGTGAGTCTGGTCCTGATTTGTCCCTGAGTCTCGTTCGGAGAGGGTGTCGCTCGTCCAGACGATGAATTCTGGTGGACGCTGTGTGGAGCTTCGCGTCCAGTATCACCTCTGCTGGGGGTAGAGCCGCCTCGCGCTGTAGGATCGGTACAGGCGTAGTTCTGTATACGGGGACCATCGCTCTAATGGCTTTGGTTTGCGTCGCGTCTAGTTGGTGTAGCAGACTACCAACCCTGTTTAAGATAGTACGTCTATTCTTTATCCGGCTCTTGCCGGGCCACCATGCTTCAGATGCATAGTACTGAGTAGGTAATATACAAGAGGTGATCGCTCGACGAAGTAAGTACGTAGGCGCGCCCCAGACAGTGTTCCTTAGTCCCCGTAGTCCATTGACTACTTAGCATGCTTTTGCGGAGAGGTTTCTTACGTGACTCTTGAATGTGAGTTTACTGTCGAAGTGAACGCCGAGCCAGCGTAGAGAAGAGCCTTCTTTAATGGCCTGAACTATATGATGCCTCCCATCCGGTAAACCTATTGTGATTGATAGGTTTCCGTCTTTTCGTCTCTTGGTGAAGTGGATTAGTTCGGACTTATCGAGGTCAAAAGTGATTCCTTCAGTCGCGCCCTATCCTAAGGTTTCTTTCTATTCCTTGGTTAGGATGTCATAGTTGTTCTCTAGTGATATTGAGCTTGCCAAGATAGCGACGTCATCGGCGTAGCCGAAACGAGATCGCTTCCTTCCTAAGCGAGCTATACCTAGCTTAAAAAGAGGTTCAATATAGAGCATGAACAGAATGGGAGACACGGGTGAGCCTTGTGGTAGTCCGCATTCGAGGCCGAAGACGTCTCCTACCTCCCCATCAAGCCTTATTCTTGCTCTCCTTCCGGTAACAAAGCTTGAGACCCAGCGTGCGAGGTTCTCCGGCCATCCTTGTTCGCAGAGGCGTCGGACTAGTCGTCCTGGGAGCACGGCGTCGAAAGCCCCTTTTATGTCGAGCGTAAGCATAGAGGTAACCAGGCCTCTTTGCCAGGCGCACTCGATGTCGTGGATGGCCGCTGCGATGAGGTTGCTGCAAGAGCGAAGAGGGAGTGCTCCAAACTGTTGATCGTGCAGAACACGATGTTTAACTACGATCCAGGCAAGTCGTCTGGCGATGAGTCTCTCCAAGCCTTTTCCGAGGACGGCCAAGAGCGCAATTGGCCTATAGGAGCGCGGGAGTGTCTTGTCTCTTTTTCCCGGTTTTGCTAGGATCACGAGAGTTGCTTCTTTAAAACAAGTAGGATGCTAACCCTCGCGTATACACCCGCTATAAAGTGAGAGGACAATATCCTCGATAACTGGCCATGCTATTTTCAAAGCAGTCGTAGTGATTCCGTCGGTCCCAGGAGTCGTGTTTCCCGCGGTGAGAACCGAAGACCGTACCTCGTCCTTCGTAACCTGCGGGAAAGGAAGCGTAGCTTGCCTTTGTAAGACTGGGCTTTCTGTTGGTATGTCCTCGGAGATTGCAGCGTTTCTAAGGAGGACGCGGGTAAATAAGTCGCGCTTCTCTTTTGGTTGTGAGACAAGCGTGTCTTGGTTGTCTACATCTCGGAGTGGCGGGGTCTGAAAGGATCCTGTGGCTTTGTGCCAACCGACCATTTCAAATATGTCTTTGCTTGAGGAGGCTGAGGAGATCTTATCTTTCCAAAAGGCATCCTTGGAGCGTTTAAACTCGTAGAGGAAGTCCTGTTTTAGAGCTTCGACCTCCTCTTCTTCCCATTGGCAGTTCACTCCGGCTGCGCGGAGTCTTGCTAACATCGCTCGCTTACTCGCTTAGGCTCGGTGTTTACGTGTGTAGCTTTCGCTCTAGTATGGTCTCCCTGTACCTTTCCCGAGCGTGCGCTTTGTGGAAGCCGTGAGTGCTTTAATAAGACAGTCCGTAAGCTGTTGTGCTAGGAGATCTAAAGACTGTGGGTCTTGGATGTTGCTTGCAGTGCGGCGCATGGGTTGTAAGTTGCGTTTAATGATGCCGAGGAAAAGCTCCTCGTCCATCGTGTCGAGCCGAAACCTTCCCGGGGTCTGGCTGGGTGAATCGATCAGGGCCAAGGGGACCCGGGCCGTACCTCAAAGGGACGGATTCCGTATTCTTAGCATACGGCTTTCCTTATCTTATCATCACGTGACTTGCTCCATAGTTCTTCCGTTCCGTAGGGTGACGCATGTGTTCCCATAGTTCGTGCACTTATGGTGTGCCCTAGTCGCCGTGGTCCTGCGGGGCAGGCCCTGGACTTGGTCGTGCATGTTGGGTCGTAACACAAGGCAACCAACTGTGGCACAAAGCAAAAGCTTCGATAATGATGACTCCGCATGTGACATTTCCTATCAGCACACTTGGTGCTACGGTCACGTGATAAGCGTGGCCTCTGTACTTAAGACGGTCTGACCGTGACCCTCCACATAAGGGGGTCATTGAACAGGAACGTTAGGTGAAGACGGTAGCCTGTAATATAGTTTAGATTAGTATAGACCATGTCGGCATTGCGCCCGGCACGTCCTTTTGTTATCAGACGTTAAATACATCATCATCATCATCATCAACATAAGGGGGTCAACCTTGAAGATACACATCACCCATGACCTACCATTGACGTTCACTTGCTCTTTCGCTTTGCTCTTCCGCGCGTGCTTCAATCGCTTTGCTCATTTCGCACTCTCCTGCCCGTACCTACACGGTCAGGCCACAGTCTTACCCCCTCTGTCAGAGAGACTGTGTCACCGCATCATTTTCCCTTGTTCTGCATTATATAGCTACGCGCCCACAGTGACAAGTTGCGGCGGGCGTAACAAAACTATATCTAGTTATAGTTTATCTCACTAGAATAAAGTTCAATAATCGGTGGTAGGGTGACTGTAAAATTCGATTTCTGCTTTGACGCATGAAAAAAGTGTTTTGGCGGAGTGCCTCTTGCAGTCTGCCGTAGCTTTTCCCCATTGATCGGCAAAGATGAACCGTAAAACTTAGTAGCCGAGAGCTTGCAGATTGTATGATGCTCCTAGGCCGCTTCTTCTATCTCGCTAGACGGGCTATTGGTTCCCGTTGGAGCTCAACCCGTTGAGCAAATTGGAAGAGTCCCTTGATTCCCGACGCCTTTCCCTTCTCCTCCCGCTCTTTGCACGTCGGGTTTTGATAGCAAAATAGGATCGGCACCGTAGCCAAAAAATACTCGTGGAACAACTCACCCACATGCTTTATCGGTGCGAATCAAGCTTCACCTCGTGCAACTCGCTCACTTTGGTACGCCGCTTCTCGGTCTCGCGTGCGGGGTAACGGTTGGGGTTGAGAAACTCTGCACGCCAGGCGGCTGGACGGAAAAGGGTTGACGACATGGACTATATTTGAGATGAAACTAAAGCTTGTCACTACCGATATCGACGACATATCATCTACCTTACCGCCAACGAAGAAGTAATTGACGTCTTATCCACAACGCTTGGAGAGACGATAATCGCTCCGAAATAGCTGTGATCTGGATCCTCCAACCTCCCTCTGGCTCCAGAAACCCGACGAGCCTTTGATACATATCACAATGGCGGAGGAAGTGAGAGCACGGGACGTCAAAGGCCTTAGAAAAAATGGCTCAGTCAACGATGAAGAAACCGGTGGATCGCACTCAGAGGCGCCCCTCGAGGTCCACGGAGACGAAGACATCGTAGCGCGGATGAACAACCTCGATCCTCCCGTGACACCAGAGGAAGAGAGACGTGTACGGAGAAAGATCGATATGCGATTGCCCCCTTTCCTACTCATCCTCTACATGTTCACCTGGCTGGACCGCGGGGCGCTGGGGAACGCGGCGCTGATGGGGATCAAGGAAGACCTCGGTTTCACAAGCAGAGACTTTTCCCTCGCCGTGAGCATGTTCTTTGTCGGGACGGCGATTTCTGACCTGTTTACGAATATTGGTATGAGGTATATCCGGCCTTCGGTGTACCTTGCTACGGCGATGGTAAGCCTGATGCGCAAAAGGAATTATACATGAACGAAAGCTCACGGGATTCACATATCATCTGGGGTATCTTTGCGACGCTGCAAGCTGTTGCCGGCGGTCCCAGCGGCATGTTCGCCATCCGATTCTTCCTCGGCATCTTTGAGGCGGCCTTCATCTCCGGGGCGCCGTACCTAACGACTGTACTCTATCCCAGAGCCGTAAGTTCCCCCCTCTATATCCTCTTGGCCCTCCCAGCTCCTGACGTAACATCACCAAGGAATGGGGCCGTCGCATCAGCGTCTACCTCTCAGCAACCCCCCTCGCAGGCGCCTTCGGCGGCTGGGTAGCCTACGGTGTCTCCAACATCTCTAACGCTCCCATCAAACACTGGCAAGCCCTCTTCATCATCGAAGGCCTCGTCACAATCGTCTTCGGCGTAGTCTGCATTTGGGTCCTTCCCGACCGCCCGCACAACACCCGCTGGCTCACGCCGCGCGAGCGCGACATCGCCACCTGGCGCATGATGCGCGACGGGAACCGCACGCACGGAAAAGTCCATTGGCGCACGACAGCGGCGCAGCTCACGGGGGACTGGCGGCTGTGGGTGAATATCACGATTTACATGGGCCAGGTGCTGCAGACGTACACGATTGCGACGTTTACGCCGATTATTGTCGCGACGTTTGGGTATGACAACGTCAAGGCGCAGTTGATGACGGCGCCACCGTATTGTGTTGCGTTTGTCATGGTGTTTGTTGTCGGGTGGGCGAGTGATCGGGTTAAGTCGTGTTCGGGGCTGTTGGTGGGGTGTTCTGTTGTTGCTGCTGTTGGCGATTTGCTGCTTGCTATGTTGCCGCACACGGCTGCGAGTGCGAGGTATGGCGCGACGTTTTTGATTCTGTCTGGGATCTTGTCTGGTGTCACGTTGAGTGTGGGCAATATTACGAGTAACTGCTGTGGAGATATCAAGAAAGGGATCGCGACGGGGTTGTTTCAGTCTTTTGGGAGTACGATGGGCATCGCGACGGGTTATCTCTTCCCTTCGACAGATGGACCGAGTTATAAGAAGGGGTTCTGGACGTTGTTTGCGGCGACATGTTGGACTGGCGTTGGTGCTGCTTTCGTGACGGTGATGAATATCAGAGAGAATAGGAGGCGCGATCGCGAGTTTGGGAAACCGCCTCGGGATGTGGTGATTGATTACGATGAGGATGGACACATGGAGAATCATCCTTACTGGAGATTCTACCATTAGACCTTTGATAATGTCTGGAGACGAAAAACGCTGGGTTGGAAGATATACAGCGACTGTTTCAGAGCGCTCAACAATAGAGGGAACAGGATTGACTCAGATAGCTGTCTTTGTAGGAGTCTCGTGTCAAAGACTTGTGTTCTACTACTATCGGCAGCTGTCTACTCTTCCCGCCTCAGACCTATCGAACTCAAACGAGACATACCTGAGAATGCCGAGAACACGCATCTAACAGCCTCATTCTGATTTGGCTTGAAGTAGGTTAGAAGTTTGTAGCGGTTGTCGCTAAGTACTATTCTTAATGCACTGTGAACTTAAGTATGTCTTTTGTTGTTATCTGAGTTAAGTCGTGATCTCCCCGAGGGACAATTCCCGGACTTCCAGATTCATGAACCATCCTGTCTTGTTTTGAGGACTGGAGTCTTTCAAGATGATGCGTTGAGAAAGTATCCATGGAGATGGGGAATGAAGTAATCAGTCAGAGCATAAGACATTTGAAGAGCGTTTAATTTGATGTGAGACACATGGTGTAGACGTTACATGGTAGATGGAGTTTAGCAGGTGTGTTGAGCTGGGCGCGGTGATTTGAATTGCATGTCACAGCCAATGTGGTGCGGAGTATCCAGCTTTTTGGTTGTCAGTAGTTCGTTCTAGACTTCTTAGATTGTCGCGTTGAAGTACACGACACGAGAAAGTCCCCCGCTGTTACGAAGGGCCTTGCAAGCTCTCTGCTTTCCTTGCTTGAAAACACCAAACCACAACTGCGTTTCAGTCTTCACCAAAGAATTGGAGGCATGGAAATCTGCCATTCATTTCGCAGACCACGCTAAATGCGTGTGCAGCTTGGTGCGGTAATTTCCGGGATAGACTGTGTTATTCGTTCAACGTCGTAACGGAAAGTGGAACCCGAAATCTAAATTCACTAGCAACATCGGCATCCATATGGATATGAGGAAACGATGACCGGGCTTGATCCCTGCTAGAGTGTCACGAAATAGGAATAGCATCAGCACTCTGTAATCAGCCCATCACGTGTGTTATCACGTGATTCTCTCATTTGTTCCTATCCCATCGGGTGCGGAATAGCTCCATTTTTGCCAAGCCCCAAAATATCCACTATTTACCCATTATTACCCCGCATTTAAAGGGGTACTTGACGATACGTCACTTCTCCCTATGCTGTGTTACCTCTTATCACCACTATTACTACGATTTTGATTAATATTGCGATGTCTTCTAGTAATTCTAATACCTCTATTACTTCTATACGTAGCTATAGTAGTTGAGGTCCTCTGGAAGACCTTATTATTATCATAATATTATCACGGGCTGGAGCCCGGTTGAGATCTCCGGCCTTGCCGGAGCCGCACGCACACCCCTCTGCTGGGAAGCTGTCCGACCGCGACCTGTAATAACCGATTATTACATTGGATTATTATATCCGGTTATGCTATAGGCCGGAGCCGGTCGAGATGTCTGGCTTTGCCAGAGCCACTATTCTGCCGTAGTATACCGCCGAGCCCGGGTATATTATACTATAGCTATATATGAACCCCTATAATTCCTCCTTTTCCTCTTTAGCTTAGAATAGTTAATTAACGGTATCTCTATATTAAATAAGCCTAGGGGCTAGCCCCTTATATATTTAAAATTTAATAGTAAATAAAAAGAGATTATACGAAAACTTACGACGAGAGTAGTATAATAGATCCGCCTAAAGGTAGTATAAATAATATATTAAATATAAAGATCGACCGCCGGGTTGATAAAGTGGTTAACGTAAACGTCCGTCCTCTTTAGGACTAGATGGCCCAGTAAACGGCCTAGATGACGCAGCTCTTGATAGCTCTGAATAAGCTTATATTACTAGATAAAATAACCCCTACGCCACTTATAAGTAGCATACCGACCCCGTCCCCCGCTATTATAACTATATAGGTAACGAGTAACGGGATGTTACGACCCAACATGCACGACCAAGTCCAGGGCCTGCCCCGCAGGACCACGGCGGCTACGGCACACCATAAGTGCACGAACTATGGGAACACATGCGTCACCCTACGGAACGGAAGAACTATGGAGCAAGTCACGTGATGATAAGATAAGGAAAGCCGTATGCTAAGAATACGGAATCCGTCCCTTTGAGGTACGGACCCCGTATGTTCAGAATACGGAATCCGTACGGTAAATATACGGATAAAGGATATGTTCAGAATCAAGACTTGTATATAGGATGGACTCGAGCCGGGCTCTAGGACAGACTTTCTATAGCTTCTTCAGCAATTAACTTCGTATCAGGATTAACATCCGCTTTCAGCTATCACCTTGACAAGACTACGATTGATCACCGAAGCCTTACTTTACCTTACTATTGACAGACATAGCTTCTAGGAAGCTATCCAGACTTACGACACTGTTACTGAGTATCGCAGCCTCAACTTCTGCAAACATACCCCTACGACTAGCTGGCCGTAACAGTATTCATCTTAATAGTTTTATATTAGATTGTATTACGCCCGTCTCTAGCTTCCACTCTCTATATAAAAACCCTTGCTTCTACTCAAAGTTCTTCGCTAGCAAGCTGTCAGCCAGCATCCCAATAGCACGGCATTCTGTGTCTGAGTTTTACCTGGATGTTTCTTCCCGAGCGCTTGTATCTCTCACTGAGCCTACTTGTTACGACCCAACATGAAGACCAGGGCGTGCCCCGCTGACGCCTAGCGGCTACGGCGCATCATATATGCAGGACGGGACGGAACATTGGGGAAACCCCAGGAACGGAAGAACTATGGTACAAGTCACGTGATGATAAGAGATATGATAAGGGATAAGGATATGTTGGATATGCGACATATCCAACCGAGTCAAGGATATGTTGGATATTCGACATATCCAACCGAGTCAAGGATATGTTGGATATTCGGCATATCCAACATATCCAGACAAAGTGGACTGTACAGCACTGTTCAGTTAGGATCGGACTTGTATATAAGGATGGACTCGAGCTGGGCTCTAGGACAGACTTTCCATAGCTTCTTCAGCAATTAACTTCGTATCAGGATTAACATCCGCTTTCAGCTACTACCTTGACAAGACTACGATTGATCACCGAAGCCTTACCTACCCTTACGATTGACAGACATAGCTTCCCTGAAGCTATCCCCGACTACGATTACTGTTACCAGTTCCGCAGCCTCAACTTCTGCAAACTACCCCTACGACTAGCTGGCCGTAACACTACTTTAGATACATCTCCATATGATCGACTTTATTCATACTTTGTTTACTTCGCTTTCCATAACTATCTCTTTATTATAATGTGAATATTCGTAAGTAAATATGTAGCGGATGAATACTAGATCCTACTAAAGCCCTATTTGGATGATCGTGTCCGTTGAGGGACGGCCTCGTCACTGCTACTAATCAACATCTCCCACTCGCACCTCCTCCTTCGAATGCTCGCTTGTAATACCCGTCCACTAGCTCGCACTCCTGTAGATCTCCCTATACCGAGTTTACTAGACTAACTTCTAGTATGTAGCTATGATAAGGCCGCATATTAGTTACTCTCTTACTACCCTACCTCTTATGTAAGCCTTGCGATAGTCGCCTTATTACGACTTCTTAGTAAACGGCCTCGCCGAGTTATCTTTAAGGCTGCCGGTGGCGTTTTCCTGCGCTGAGCCCCTAGACTATTATCCTCTCGTATAGCTAATCGAGCAGGGATAGGCTGTGCTATGTTCTTCGGCCTACTACGGAGGGAGGTAATAATCTTAGGGTCTAGAATCCGACGGTATAGATCTCTAGAGGATGTTTCCCTTAGTCTCTAATGAGGATAGACGTCCTACTTTGTAAAAGACGTCCTAGCTATAAGCCTTACGTAGATTGTATAGTAGTAAGGAATACCTAGCTCTACCGAGGTAGAATAGTCGTCTATATAATCTCTAAACGAGAGATATCTTATGGGTTAAGGCTGGCAACTTCACTATTATCAACGTATATAGGCCGCCAGGTGAGCCGACAAACCACACGACTACTGCTCTCCTAGGATACTATCCGCCAGAAAGAGCCCTTATAGCAGGGGACTTTAACGCCCGCCACCCTACCTGGGAACCAGGCTCCCCTAGCCGGAATCGGGGGGACGATATTGCAGAGTGGGCTGAAGGCTACGATCTTTCGTTTATTGGGGAGGTTGGGGTCCCTACCCATACTCATAGGCATACCCTCGACCTAACATTCTCAAATATCCCCTTTGCTGAGGCTTATATTAGCCCACACCTGCACCCAGGGGCTGACCACCAAGCTATCACAACAACTATCCCTATAGGCAAGGCCCAGGAACAGAAACGCCAGACTGGCCACCTCTCAGTCCCAGAGTCAGCCCTACCCCGACTTATCGACCTAGTAAGAGCTGGATCCTCAGCCTTACCTACCCTAGGGGAAGTACCTAGTCCAGCAGAGCTGGACACTCTAGCTACCCAACTAGTCAGCCTCTTCTATACAGCTATTCAAGCTGTAGGTAAGAGACGGACAAATCAGGGTAGGGGAGCCCCCTGGTGGACAGAAGAGTGTGCAGAAGCCCACCGAGCTGCTATCGAGGCTAGGCGCCAGCAGGCCCAGGAACCTGGGCTAGTTATACCTCCCCCCATCCTAGAGGAGCAAAAGATCTTCTTAACAACTGTTAGAAGGGCAAAACGCGCTTACTGGACTACTAAGATCGAAGGGGCTAAGACAGACCAAGACCTATATAAGATAGTAGGCTGGCGGAAGTCTAGCTTAGCTGTTAAAGGCCCGCCCCTTATAGTAGAAGGTCAGATATTCGACAACAGCTACGATAAAGCCCAGGCCCTACGAAAGGCCTTACTAGAGAGATTTAACGCTACAGACGACTTACCTGGGGACCCTTTCGCTATCCCAGTAGTTGCACGGCGTCTAATGCCCTGGCAGGATGTGGTCAGCATGGAAGAAGTACGCCAGGCTACTCTAACAAAGACTACAACCCCTGGGATTGACGGGATTACTACAAAGTTACTACAACACACCTGGGAATCAGTAGCTAGGCCTATACAGCAGCTCTTCCAGGCCTGTATTCAGGTAGGCCACTTCCCTCGACCGTTCCGCAAAGCAGAAGTTGTCATGATCCAGAAGCCAGGGAAAACAGACTTCTCGAAGACTGGGTCTTGGCGTCCGATATCCCTTTTATCCTGCTTAGGTAAAGGCCTAGAGCGGCTAATAGCAAAAAGGATGGCCTACCTTACTATCCTAGAAGGGGTTGCTAGCCCACAGCAGGTTGGAGCACTACCAGGCAGGGCTGCAGTCGACCTAACAGCCTGTCTGACCCACGAGATCGAGAGGGCTCTAGACTCAGGGCTCACTGCAACTCTTGTGACAATGGACGTTAAAGGGGCTTTTGACTCTGTCCTAAGAAACCGACTTATTATCAGGCTACGACAGCAGGGTTGGCCTAGTCAT